GATGAACTCATGCGGCAGTTCGGCGGCATCAAACTCCAGAACTGTCTGTAACAGAAAATATTGAATAGTGTTACTGAAAAAACATACAGTAACTACAATGTCTATATTTTCACACAAGTAGGGGCTGGGTTGGGTGAGTATAGACAAAAACTACAAGCTACAGGCAGGGCAGGTGGCAGCATAAACCCTCATTCCCACATCACAATATATAGTATGTAACGTAAAGTGACACATACCTGCACATAATCATGGCGCAGATCCTTGACCCTGACACTGTTCCTCTCAAATGGCACCCTGTACAGCTGCTTCATTCTGAAGTTATGTTTCTGTAGGATGCGACTTAGTGTAGAAATGCTGACCCTGTTGATATTGTTGAATTCATTTCCATTTGCAATTATGCGTTGTTGCAACTCACGAAGTCGGATTGCATTATTTTCTCGCACCATTTCAATGATGGCAAGCTCTTGTTGTTGAGTGAAGAGCCATTCCCTTCCACCTTGAGGAGGTCGTCCAACCATTCTGTAGAAAATGCCACCACAAGATGTCATTGGTTAGGTTATTTTTCACATACTGTACTTTCAAACTGTACACAGTACTGCAACATCACAATGGTATTCCTTTACATATACAGTACTTCACAGCACTACCCATTTTTGTATAGTTAGTACAGTAATACTGTAATATGATACAGAATCATGTGACACATACAGTAGGTACAGTCTGGAGTAGAAACTTGAAGATCTACCTGTTCTCCAGTCGGAATGTCCTTATTATCGATGCTACTGTGTAGCGACTGAGGTTAGGGTGGACTCTTTGCCCAGCCTCCCTCATGGACAGGCCATGATTTATCACATGGTCCACCAGAGTAGCCCTGATGTCATCTGATATACGTCTCCGCACTGGTCCTCGTCCTCTTCCACGTCCTCTTCCACATCCGACTCCTCTCTCTCGTTGTCCTCCTCTTACTCTGACTCTCATTGCCTCCATGCTTGCAAAGTTCTAAAAATGGCTTACCTGAGGCCTATTTGTAGTGCTAAGGCTCAGACTGATTGGTGTTCTGTTTTCTGTGCAAGTGTTTTCAGGTGTGTATGTAAGTGCATACAATTGCCAGATGAGTTTTGCATTTTGAACAGAGTGTTTTCCCAATGATAACAGGTGATTTCGTTTTTGAACAAAGTGTCTAATGTAAGAAAACGTGTGTAGTGTTTCACAATAAGTGTGTTACAGAATTGCAAACAAAGTGCAAAGTTGACATTGTGTTTAAGCTATGGTTACACTGTGTTTAAGGTATGCTACAAGACGTTTAGGTATTGAGGCTTTGGTCTAAGCATTCGGTTTTAGTGTGTAAGCAATGGGCAAAAACTGTAATTGGTTGTTACTTATTAGAGATCCCTTACCTCCAAAGTGAGGATGTCAGGGTATGAGAGTTGTCTTGTTCTGAGACGATTGTCCATTTTCTGCAAGTCCTGTCGTAGCAGATAGAAGTATGCCTTTCATAAATTCTGCTATTACTTTTTACATAGCCTTAGAAGCCTATACCAGAATTATCAACATGCACAACACACGTCATGCACTGAAAGTGTGCATTCAAGTGGAGACAACCCAGCAGACTCTCCATCTTCCGAAGCAGCATAGCTCTCTTCCCTAGACTGACACATGACATGGATGGCTTCCTTATGGTTATAGCTAGCTAGCTATGCTTCCATTGTGAAAATGAGCTTTGGGCAACATTCACTAGTCATTCACGTAGAGCTAAATCAGAGCTAGCTATGTTTTTCAGCTAGTAAAAGTTGTTTATGACATTTTAAACAAACGTGGCATAACCTCATTAAAATAATCATAGGGGGAGCATGAACCACAAAATCCAAACAATCTTTAACACTGTAGTTTGTCTGCTTTGTAAATCTGACAGCAATCCAAATCAGGCAATTTTCAGTTACCACCCTACCTCTGTAATTATTGCTTTGATGACCATTACACTTTCTATTGTGTAATTTCAGGCTAATCAAACATCATCATAATTACTGTGCTTTACAATAATTAATGCTTTCATAATTACGGTACTCACGCATACTCTCACTGTTTAGCCAGGCCTTGTGAACAGAATGTAAGCTCTTGAGATCAGGATGTGTTGGCCTATCGAAAACTACTTGGCTGTTCTGGGAAAGTTCTTCACTACTTTACCACTAGATGGCAACCTTGTATCTATCCTTGTATCTAATTATGTGATACAAGGATAGTGGAATGATAATGCTTGATTCATAATATGATACAAATGACTAAATCCAGTACACAAAGGCAAACATGGACCACACAAGGATTTCAACAAAGTACATCAAAACCCATATTTTATTTTAAGTATAGCAATACAATTTACATATTAAATAACACTATAATAGAATGCTTTGATATAGCTTTCAACAAAACAAAAAATATTTTTTTCCTTCTTTTTTTTTCTTATTTCAGGTTACAAAAGAGGAAGCAACGCCCCCCTGTTCAAAATTGTCAATGGGATGAAATTATTCAGTGACTTACTAGAGCTATTCTATTGCACACTCTGACAACAGAAACATGAAAATGAAAACAAAACAAAGTAATAACAATAATAATATCACAATCACTGCCTTATAGTTAATGAGATGCGTGGAATTGTATTGGAATGTGATGACGACCACTAGCTCAATGCACGGAGACTTGGTTTCCACGTTTCACCACAAAAGCAATGCAATGAAGGAGTTGAACTGAGAGAAAGAAAAATAGCTTTATATGAAAATATAAAATTCTATGATTATTTACCATAGATACAAAGTTTCCAGAAAATGGTTGGTTATAGAAGCAACAAAATATGTACATTGTTTTCATGATACACTAGTGTTTGTGTTTTGCAACACATGAACACACCTGACAGTGGACACTAGGCTCAGTGATGGAACAAGCAAAACTGAAAGAATGAAAAAAGCTAGTGCTTAACAATGCAAAATGCCTTCAGTGACAAAGGGACAAAAGTCAGCTGTTTACCCCAAATGTTGGAGTTATGACTTAATTCAATAGCCCTCCTTGGAAGGAGATGAAAGATGATGGGTAAAAAAAGAATAAAATAATTGATGCATCTCTCTACTTTATTATTCTAAGAGTTGAGTGATAAATTAGATATAATACAATTGCAATGAGCTCCTTCTGTAGCAAAGGGAATTCCTAAACGAACACAAGTTATGACGAGTTGACACATAAAGTCCAGTATGGAAACAAAAAGATGGCAAAAGAAGCAGAAGAAAAAGTAAACAGGATCATCATCACTTACTCAGTCAACAGCCTACACATCACTGACAAAGGAAATCAGACACAAATGCAAAAAACCTGCTCTCCCTCTCTCTAATATTTATCTTAACGGAAATGAGTTTAAGTCTTTGGTAAAAGTTACAAATCATAGGTATCCTCTATGTTTTGTTGTGATAATCAAACAGAAAATATTCTAATAGCATGGTCATTGTGCTGTATAATGAATTCACATTTTTCTTTCAAATGCAAATCACAGGTCGTCTCTCTTTCCTTCAGATAACTAAGGGAGGTATTTTTTAAAAAGTGATTCTGTCAGGAAATGAAGGGGTGGTGGTGGGAGGACAACAACTAAAACAGGGTGAATGAGTTCATGTGAATCACTCTAGGACTCCAGTAAAACTGTCCTTAAACCACAGTAAAACTGTCCTTGCTTAGGCCACTAAATTCCCACCTGGCTTAATCTGGAGCAAAACCATACGACAGTCATAGCATACAATCATACCACACACAAGCAGAGTCAAGCAACGGTGAGGATTAGAAACTATGTACACAAGGCCGTGTGACGTGGGTGCATACCTGCTTCAGGATGAACAAGGGGATTATAAAAATACCTTCACCCAAATAATCAATTCAACAGGGCAGGACACAGAAAATGGCAATTGGTTGTATCACAAGTATCCATTTTCTCAAAGAAGTTTCCACTCACACAAGGGCATTATCATTTCTTAATTTGACTAACTTCTATGACTGTGCGTTGACTATTAGCAGCAAGAAGCAAAAAACAACTGAGCCAGAAGAGGGTGTAAGTGTGCAGAAAATCAATACTGGCATTGATTAAGAGCGGTAAACTGTTGGATCAAGTGGGATTCAGAGGCAGGTCATGACATCGGACATCTACAAAATCACAAGTTATAATGATAGGGATATTCATATATGTGTACATATATCTATATATATATATATTAAAAAGCATTATATGAATCATACAAAAAATCATTAAAGTTCACAGTAGCTGTTACAATACCACCTTCAATATTCAAATATGGGTTTGAATTGCTAATAAGATGCATACAAACAAAAGAAAAACAAACAACAAACAGAACCAATGACCCTATTGCCTGTAGGTGTGACAGAAACCAGACTGTTGAGTCTTGCAGAAAATTAGTGATATATGAGCCATATGGGTGAGCAGAGGAGAGGAGAGGAGAGGAGAAGAGGGCTACTGTAGTGAAACTCAGGTTGAAAGGGATATTGATATGAACAGGGAGTCACTCTCGCTCCTCTTCCTTATATGAGCCAGTAGGGAGCAAATGGAGCAATGTTTTTTATTTTCTTACTTCTCTAAAGAAGTTGAGTGAGGGCTTTGCCATGGAATGTTGCAATAAGAGCTTAAGTGTAGTAGAACAGAGTCCATCAGCTTAGTATAGACAGTAACACTGACATTATAGTGCAAACAAGAAAGACAGAAGTGTGTTTCGTTGTTGTGAACTCAAAAATGCAGCTGCAAACGTTCAGTAGGATAACATTAAGACATAAAATGGCAAAAAATAAATATCAAAAACTTTTTATCAGTGTAAAAAAGTAATCAGGTTATTCATTTAACAAAGAGTCTGGCAAAAAAGGCCTCAAAGTATTGTCTTATAGTCCTTGACATTTTACAAAGTAAGTGCCTCTCTCTCTGCGAGGGCCAGGGGACCCTCAGGCCTGGTGGGTGGGGCCCTTCAGACGAGGGACTCCATGCTCCATGCCTGGTCTGACTCATCCGACATGGCCATGGTGCCGTTTCTGTCCAGCGACCTTAGGCCAGAGCCATTCTCCTTGGTGCTGATCAGACTGAGCATAGCTTTATAAAGGTACTGGTACTGATCCTGTGGAGGGAGAGGGAAATGCTGTAAGAAAGGGTGCAAACTCCAAAAATGCAATCACGTAGCCAATTTGCATCTACACTATATATACAAAAGTATGTGGACGTCAGCACAAGAACTGTTAATCGGGAGCTTCATGAAATGGGTTTCCATGGCCGAGCAGCAGCATACAAGCCTAAGATCACCATGTGCAATGCCAAGTGTCGGCTGGAGTGGTGTAAAGCTCGCCACCATTGGACTCTGTGAGCAGTGGAAACGCGTTCTCTGGAGTGATTAATCTCGCTTCACCATCTGGCAGTGTGATGGACAAATCTGGGTTTCACGGATGCTACCTGCCCGATTGCATAGTGCCAACTGTAAAGTTTGGTGGAGGAGGAATAATGGTTTGGGCTGTTTTTCATGGTTCGGGCTAGGCCCCTTAGTTCCAGTGAAGGGAAATGTTAATGCTACAGCATACAATGACATTGTAGACAATTCTGTGCTTCCAACTTTGTGGCAACAGTTTGGGGAAGGCCCCTTCCTGTTTCAGCATGACAATGCCCCCGTGCACAAAGCGAGGTCCATACAGAAATGGTTTGTCGAGATCGGTGTGGAAGAACTTGACTGGCCTGCACAGAGCCCTGACCTCAACCCCATCGAACACCTTTGGGATGAATTTGAATGTCAACTGCAAGCCAGGCCTAATCGCCCAACATCAATGCCCGACCTCATTAATGCTCTTGTGGCTGAATGGAAGCTGAGATGTTCGACGAGCAGGTGTCCACATACTTTTGGTCATGTAGTGTATTTAATCTCTTACATTTCATAACCATGCTACTGGTCTACTCACTATGTCTGTGAATACTCCAGGCCTCATGAGGTTGATCATTTTGGCCACCTGATAGACGCCCACGGCACTCTCACTCTCCAGCTGCTGGGACAGGGTGATGAGGGCACACAGCATGCCCGCTGACACTGCCCCGAACCTAGGGGACAGGAGAGGAACACACAGGGTTACTTAACAGGCCTTTAAACTGGACAGGGACACACATGGTCACAGAGAAGCATTGAGCCCAGAGAGGAACTGAACGTCAGACTGAAGACTTAAGGAACACTGCAGCAAATTAATTCCATGTGAGACGGCAAGAGGGGTTCAGCCCCTTAGAGAAAGAGGGATGCTCACAATGAAAAGGTTGCTGCTTTTATTAACAGCTGTGTCAAGTGCACTGGAGATACACAGCCTAACAACCATGTCTAACCAGCTAATGAATATGCAGATAATTACTACAGCCGTCTATCCAAAACCTCTTAGGGGGGGATCCCATAGTAACGTTACAGAACTGAAATGCTCAATTAGTCCCTTTTTTCTCTGGGATGAGACAAGCAATCTTCATTATCCTAATGAATAAACATGACTAAAGCTGCATGTCTCGTCGTTGGGAGTGTTGTTCGTCGCCGCTCATGTCTGTCAATATTAAGAGACGTTCATTATTTCTAATTTGATGGCGTATCAGTGTACATGGGGGTGGGACTCATTAGAGGTAATACAATGGCTATGCTTACCAGGTATGCTGTAGATATGAAATTGTGTGTGTGTGTGTGTGAATAGCTAAATGTTCTGTTGAAACAGCATACAGTTTAAATGATTTACTTCAAGAGGTTAAAAGCAGAGATAAGTGTTTTCCCTGTCATCAGCAGCAGGACGTGCCACACTCACTCGTCGTGTACTATGGTGGGTCCGTCTCTGGTCATAGCCTCCTCCTTGATGACATTGATGAGCTCAAAGGTGCTGCTGATGGGAGTGTCAGGGTTGGGCCATTTAGGGCACTGAAAGTGACGCACCTCCAACACATAGTCATCCTGGGGAGAGGAACAGAAAGAGAGAAAGGGATAGGTTAGTGTATGTAGGTGTACATACAAAGACACACCCACCCACACACACGGACTGACTCATACACTAATGGAGGTAAAGACAGTCATACACACAGAGGCAGGTCCATAAACACACACACACACCACAACGTACCTGTGTGGCCTCCAGGATGAAGTCGTGGATGATGATCTGCTCCTCGTTAGAAAGGCATAGTCTGTCTTTGCTTATAAGCGTGACAGTGAAGGCCTCACAGTTCATGGCCTCCTCTCGACTCGGCCAGTACACAAACTCATCCTCCGCCTAAAGACACACAGCCAAACCAAAAGGGGGATGAGTATGAAATGGAAAAGGGAGGAGTGGGAAGGTGGGGGTGAGACATTTATGTTTAGTAGAATCACTGACAGTTTACGCTGAGCAAAGAATTAGGTCCAAAACGAAACAAAATGTTAAAGGGATGGGAATTTGAGTGCAGAAGTGCCACCACTCAGTGTGTGAAACCACATATATACAGAGAGAGTTAGTTAGAGAGACATATGGCTGACTGGAGCGACTGATACAGCTGCTGTCACTTCCAGTCCTCATCTCAATGCTTCTCACCCCCAATCGAGTGACTTCCTGTGTGAACACTGGGCCAAGGCTGGAAAAGACTATGCTTAGGGTGCTAAGGCAGCCTTTCAATAGACCAAAGATTAGGCTGATATCTGAACTGTTTTACCTTTAGTGTGTGTGTGTGTGTGTGTGTATGCGTTTGCGCATGTGTGTGTGTATGTGTGTGTGTGTGTGCCAGACCCACCAGCCCCTGGTTGTCCGGCAGCATGACAATGATCTGTGCGTTGTGGTCCCAGATCATCCTCCAGAAGTCTTTAGTGGTGTGGGGCAGAGGGTGCTGGGTAATGATGAACTCATTGCTCCTGTAGTAGCCCTGTGGTATCACAACAGAGGTCAAGGGTTCAAGCAAGGGTTGTGTTGTGGTTAAGAGGAAAACAAGCCAGTGTGCCTCAGGTGAAACCTGCCACAGCAGTAGCCTACCACTGCTTAAAACACAGTAGAGCTAGTAGTCTACCTTTAGGATTCACAAAAGTCAACAACAACTCCAAGTCCATTCCTCTCAGTTGATAGCAATGAACATCTATGAGACAAAGGGATCTTATATCATAATATTTACATTCCTTGTTCAGTTGGTCCAGCCAGGTGTGTGCCTGAGGGACAGTGAATGATTGACAGGGGAGGAACAGGAGGTGGTACTCACCATTATGTAAGACGCGTTAATGTAATCTGTGCCTTTCATACCGGGCAAAGGTGCCAACCCCACCCTCGCTCGCTCCGCTGCCATAGAGACACAGAGAGAACCAATCAGGGCACAGTGATCATAGAGCTAAGCAGCAAACATGTTCTTATTGGTTAACAAAGCGAGTGAGTGATTTCTATGAAAAGCAGCCACAGCATACTCACTTCAAATAACTATAGTATGAGCATGGACCATAAACAACCAGTTATGTGACTAACTACTGTAGATGAATGACTTCCTTTGACCATGGATAGAGACTAGGGTCATCAGAAACAGGACACTGTGGAAAGCAGCAGTCTAGACTGGAGCCAGTGCAATAGGTGAATATCGCTGTCAGGTGGTGCATGGATAATATAGTTATACAAGTATTTGACTTACAGGGCACCACTGAGGAGTTGCGGTTCTTCTCTTTGTTGCACTCCTTCTGAGCACTGAAGCACTCCACAAACCTGGCATTACATTGAGTCACCAACTGCAAACAAGAGAGGAGGTGAGAGGGCAAGAAAGAGGGACAGAGAGATTGATGAAAAGGGGGAGGAAGAAAGAGAGAGAGGTTAGATAACAACGATACAAACAGGATTGAGGTCAATTCCAGTCATTTCAAGAAGTACAGTGCCTTGCAAAACGTATTCATCCCCCTTGGTGTTTTTCCTATTTTGTTGCATTACAACCTATAATTTAAATGGATTTTTATTTGGATTTCATGTCATGGACATACACAAAATAGTCCAAATTGGTGAAGTGAAATGAAAAAAATAACTTAAAGTGGTGCGTGTATATGTATTCACCCCCTTTGCTATGAAGCTCCTGAATAAGATCTGGTGCAACCAATTACTGTCAGAAGTCACATAATTAGTAAAGTTAAATAAAGTCCACCTATGTGCAATCTAAGTGTCACATGATCTGTCACATGATCTCAGTATATATACACCTGTTCTGAAAGGCCCCAGAGTCAAGTACAGATCAGGGTTGGGTTATAAAAAAATATCAGAAACTTTGAACATCCCACGGAGCACCATTAAATCCATTATTAAAAAATGGAAAGAATATGGCACCACAACAAACCTGCCAAGAGAGGGCTGCCCACCAAAACTCACGGACCAGGCAAGGCAGGCATTAATCAGAGAGGCAACAAAGAGACCAAAGATAACCCTGAAGGAGCTGCAAAGCTCCACAGCAGAGATTGGAGTATCTGTCCATAGGACCACTTTAAGCCGTACACTCCACAGAGCTGGGCTTTACGGAAGAGTGGCCAGAAAAAAGCCATTGCTTAAAGAACAAAATAAGCAAACACGTTTGGTGTTCGCCAAAAGGCATGTGGGAGACTCCCCAAACATATAGAAGAAGGTACTCTAGTCAGATGAGACTAAAATTGAGCTTTTTGGCCATCAAGGAAAACGCTATGTCTGGCGCAAACCCAACACCTCTCATCACCCCGAGAACACCCTGTGGTCCTCTGTAGCTCAATTGGTAGAGCATGGCACTTGTAACGCCAGGGTAGTGGGTTCGATCCCCGGGACCACCCATACGTAAAAATGTTTGCGCACATGACTGTAAGTCGCTTTGGATAAAAGTGTCTGCTAAATGGCATATTATTATTATTATTATAACACCATCCCCACAGTGAAGCATGGTGGTGGCAGCATCATGCTGTGGGGATGTTTTTCATCAGCAGGGACTGGGAAACTGGTCAGAATTGAAGGAATGATGGATGGCGCTAAATCCAGGGAAATTCTTGAGGGAAACCTGTTTCAGTCTTCCAGAAATTTGAGACTGAGACGGAGGTTCACCTTTCAGCAGGACAATGACCCTAAGCATACTTCTAAAGCAACACTCGAGTGGTTTATGTGGAAACATTTAAATGTCTTGGAATGGCCTAGTCAAAGACCTCAATCCAATTGAGAATCTGTGTTATGACTTAAAGATTGTTGTACACCAGCAGAACCCATCCAACTTGAAGGAGCTGGAGCAGTTTTGCCTTGAAGAATGGGCAAAAATCCCAGTGGCTAGATGTGCCAAGCTTATAGAGTCATACTCCAAGAGACTTGAAGCTGTAATTGCTGCAAAAGGTGGCTCTACAAAGTATTGACTTTGGGGGGGTGAATAGTTATGCACGCTCAAAAGTTTTTTTTGGTCTTATTTGTTGTTTGTTTCACAATAACAAATATTTTGCATCTTCAAAGTGGTAGGCATGTTGTGTAAATCAAATGTTACAACATCCATTTTAATTTCAGGTTGTAAGGCAACAAAATAGGAAAAATGGCAATGGGGGTGAATACTTTCTTCAATGCTTTTCAATACTAGTCAATTCTTACTCAGATCAAATTCAGCTGAAGGAAAAAAATGTGGGTCATCTTAACGCTCCTGCCAAATGACCAAATTACAAACACTGCTAAATTCTTTGGAGAGCAGAAATTAACATAGGACTTTGGACATTTTTGGGCTCTGAAAAACAAAATAAATATTCTCTCCAAACAATGATTAACTTAAAATCCAGCATTGAGGCTAATTGCATTAAAATCACAATGGCTACCATTGTTTTACAAGAGCACGCTCAATCTTGCCCGACCCTGGGCCGAATCAAATCCCACCGTGGAGGAGAATAATGAAAGCCAATTACGATCTGAGCCTGTCGTCAAACCAGGCGACAACCTAGACCCCCCCACCATGATAGGGGGGTTCACATCGCCTTGGCAACAAGTGCAGTGAGTGGCATTAGTCAAAGGGGACACCCGGGGAAGAGAAGTACTCTTCCCCTAAATGTATTTCCATTCTAATTACATGTAGAGAGAGAGAGAGAGAGAGAGAGCGAGAGAGAGAGAGAGAGAGAGAGAGAGAAAGAGAGAGCGAGAGAGAGCGAGAGAGCGAGAGAGAGAGATATGCAGGCAGAAAAAGAAAGATGCAGAGAAAATATGTTTGACAGAGAAGGAGCATGATAGGTAGATAGAGAAAGAGAGAAAGAGATCTAGGATTCAGGAAGACTGTGAATTGAGGTGCTCTGACCTTAAACTGTTTCTCCAGCCGAGTCTTGCCGCCCACCCCAGGCGTAAGGATACTGTTGACATAGCTGTGCAGCTGGCTGGACAACACCTCTGTCTCCTTCCCCATGATGGCCTCAATCAACACATCATGAATGAAGATATACTGCTCCTATAGGCCAAGAAAGACGGAGAGAAGCAACACCAAGTCAGACACGCAGACAGTGGCAATACAGCTCTTTGTAAAGCAGAGAAATTATGACAATGGCTATGCTCCCTTTGTCCCGGACAACAGTGGCTGTGTGATGCATGACTGTCCTGTAATTACAAAGAACGATACGGCCAGATTAAAACACAGCTGCATAAGACAGATAAGAAAGACATCATCATTTGCTTTAACACAGATGCTCAAGTGAATAGAATGGCACATAGTGACATAGTGAGAATAGAAGGGTGTTAACACACACACACACACACACCGGACCCACCTCTGTTTGTACCAGGTAATTGCGCTGGGTCCGGATGTGTTTGAGGAAGCCCAGGACGTTGACTGTGCTTTTGTCCTTGATCTGCTGCAGCATGCTGTCTATGACGATGTAGGTCCCTGTCCGGCCCACACCCGCACTGCACACACACAGGAACACACACATTTAGACACTCAACAGGGTTTCCCATTGGAATAAAACCCTTCAGGAACATGGACAAAAATGTCAATGACAGCAGCAGACCAATTAATAACTCAGCCGTCTTCAATCCCAGTCCATGTCAACTACAGCAATGTTCTCCTCTAGCTGGTTCTTAATTGATCGATTCATGTCATTGGCTGTCCAGTGTCTAGTCACCTGGTTCTCCAGATCTAAACCAGTTGCTGATGAATGAGGTTCATGGTTATAAACCACCAGACACAGTGACAGTCAAGGATAGGAGTTGGGTAGAGCTGCTCTAATACATCCAAGACTTATTGGAGAGGTCATAAAGTCCAAACTCCTATGTGGTCCTCTGTAGCTCAGCTGGTAGAGCACGGCGCTTGTAACGCCAAGGTAGTGGGTTCGATCCCCGGGACCACCCATACACAAAAATGTATGCACGCACGACTGTAAGTCGCTTTGGATAAAAGCGTCTGCTAAATGGCATATTATTATTATTATAAGACAGACCTGAACAGTCTGAACCCTAACAGGGCTATCTCTACCTCCTAGGTTGGCTTCCCTCTCCTCATGTCAGTATCCTGTGCATAAAGTATAGTGTCAGTTAATGAGAGAAGAGGAAAGGAAGCAGACGGCTTTAATCATAAATAGAGTCCGTGTTCAGCAGGAGAGAAGCCAGTCGCCAGCACTGACAGTGAGAGACAGGGTCCACCCAGGTCACAGGCACTGTAATGAGGACCTTTGTGTGTGTGTGTGTGTGTGCCTGGCAGAGCCGTATAGTTGAGTGTGTAGACACAGCGGGCTCGGCCTGTGAAGGGCCATTATCTAACAGCGCAGGACAGTATGACGTTAGAGACCATTACCCTCATTACAGAGGAGGGAACTTTCACTGGACAATTACAGTATATTTCCCTGCCTGCACACTGCGTTACTGCCTTAAACACACACTTAGCTAACCACGAATGGGATACCAGGCTCTCAGGTAACAAAGGAAGTGGGGTCCCTTGCAACATTACCTAATGACAAGATGGCGTATTGAATAGAAAGCGGTACAAAACACCTCAAGATAAAAACATAATATTCAAAATCAGTAAGTTAGACTAAATATTAGCATTTCATATATTCGCAGTTAATATAATTCAATCTGGAGAGCCGATCCCCAAAAGGAAACGCGACTCATCGACTGATACAGATGATATATGCTTTTCACCACTGGGTATGGTAAGTGTGGAAAGCGACCTGTTGAAGTCGATAAATGACAAATTGGGCATACTAGAATTGGTCAGTAAAGACGTAAAAGAGTTGAAAGCGAGTCTTCAAATGAGTGATGAAAAAGCTTTGGTAATGGAGAAAGAAACCAAAAAATTAAAAGTGACAGTCTCTAAAATGGAAACGGACGTTAGGGAACTAAAAAAGGAGAACAACCTTCTGAGAGAAGCCTTACTAGACATCCAAACTAGATCGATGAGGGAAAATCTAGTACTTACGGGTATTCAGGAAAAGGAGGGAGAAATAACAGAGAATATTATGAAGGACTTCCTGCATACAGCGCTACAAATCCCACTCGAGGCTGTCGATAAAATCCAACTCGAACGTGTACACCGTTTCGGAAAAAGAGGACAGAAATATGAGCGCCCAATCGTTGCCAAATTTGCTTTTTTTAAAGATAAAGCTATCGTGAAAAGCCTAGGAAAAAGACTTGCTGGCACGAAAATAGGCATGAATGATCAGTTCCTGAGGGAGATTGTAGAAAGGCGCAAAGTTCTGTATCAAATCTTCAAGGAAAACAGATTAAAAGGGAAACGTGTTGCACTCGTGGTGGATAAACTATATATTGACAACCAAATGTTCAGAGACACAAAGACTACTCCATGGCTATTCTAAAAGTTGCAATAGAGGAGTCGAATATTGGAGCACCTGATACTAGCAATGATATGGGATTGTAATATTAAATAACATTTATAGTAAGTATAGTATTTTATAAAAGGATAAAACGACATAACAAGCAGAACAATACATCTTTAAATACAAATAATTAGAACATGGCTTTTTTGGCGGGAGGTTGTTGTTTTGGCGGATGGTTGTTGTGGTTGGTCCTGTGTTCCCTCTGGCATCCTTTCCCCCTTGCGGCAGATGTGGATGCGGGTGCGTTTGCACGCTCGGCCCATTTCTTCCGCAGTCAACCATGTGGTGTGCATTTTTGTGTTTGAAAAGGTGCAGCGTTAAGTGAGTGAGAGGGGAAATGGTTGCATACCCAGAGCCGACCGGGGGTCTATGAGCAGGGGTAGTGAGAGAGAGCTTTCAATTTTGTGTAGATGAGGGATATACATTTTAAAATATAGTATACATCTAATCTAATTTTTCATTGTTCTATCATGATGGAAAGATCCCTAACCCTATAACCTGGACACCCACCTGAGCGACCCATACACCAAAGAGAAGTTCCCATCTCTTTCATGGACCTGCTGTGAGTATGCAGCCTAAACAGAGAAATAAATGCGGTCAGAGACCTACTTGAGCAGCACCGCCCCCTCTGGCATCTGTTGTGGGGGGGGGGTGTTGTGGGGGAGGGGGGGGGGGGGGGTATGGGATGGACCACGGGAATTATTTGCTAGGATAATAATTGCTTGTCAATGAATTAAATGTAATACAATGGCAATCCGGGTTATATGTTAGAATCCTACGCGTGAACTGCCAACATTATTACGCATATTAATTGATAATGATGGAAAATAGGATATGCATAATTTAAAAAAAATAGTTATATAGATATATATATAGAGGTGAAAGCATTGGAAATGCTTTTGGCGGTTAATCTGCTTCTGTTTTGTGGGTGGCACTGTGTGCTGTTTTCGATGGATGGGTCCTGGCCTCTCGGGGCCTTAGGGATCCGGAGGGACGTGGGTGGGATGCTGATCACTGGGATGACCGCTCAACTTGGGATGGGGAGGGGCTTTAGCGGGGAAATTAGTGGAGAACAATTGATGGGTTACTCCGTAGCAATGCAAATATCACGGTACAGCTATATGGACACTCAATCATTACGGTATTTTTTATTGGTAAATTTACAAAACATATATAATGATAAATAGACTTGAAACTTGTATCTCATTATGGTGTATGGTGAAATAAGTATAGCCAGTTATAATTGTAATGGCTTAGCTGATAATAACAAAAGAATAACAATATTTACATGGCTCAAAGAGAAGGAATATAATATCTATTGTATACAGGAAACTCATTCAACAATTCCAGATGAAGTAGCGTGGAAAAAAGAATGGGGGGGGGGGGGAATATACTTCTCCCATGGGCAAAGAAATTCAAAAGGGGTGATGATATTAATTAATAGTAATTTCGATCCGAATGTGCAAATTGTCCAAATAGATACGCAAGGTAGATGGATTATTTTAAATATGTTATTGGACCATAAACAGATATGGCTCATTAACCTTTACGGACGAAATAATGATGATCCACAATTTTTTGACAATATATATAATAAATTATCAACCCTGCAAGCAATTCAAGACAATATTATTATGGTGGGGGATTATAATACTGTTTTAAATAGCTCAATGGACAGTAAAGGAAATCACACCACAAACAATCACCCACATGCTCTTAAGGAAATTGTGAATGTCATGGATACATTAGAACTAGTAGATATATGGAGGCTTAAATATACTGATCTAGTGAGATATACATGGCGGAGACTCAATCAAGCTAGTCGTCTTGACTTCTTTCTTATCTCATTCTCGTTGGCACCAAAAGTAAAAAAAAGTGTTGATAGGGGACAGAATGCGGTCGGACCATCATATAATAGGCATATACATTACTCTTACTGAATTTCCACGTGGGCGAGGATATTGGAAATTTAATCAAAGCCTATTGGATGATAATCTATTTATAATTAGAACAAAGGAATTTATAACTGACTTTTTCCAACATAACATAGGTACAGCGAATCCCCTTATTGTATGGGACACCTTTAAATGTGCCTTTAGAGGCCATGCAATTCAGTACTCATCTCGAAAACAAAAGCAACTTAGGTCAAAAGAGTTTATACTAAGAAAGGAAATAGAAAGTCTAACAGAACAGATAGATGGCAATAAAAACTGTAACATAGAGGCTGAGAATAAATTAGAGGAAAAACAAAAATAAATGGAGAAACTTATTCAAGAAAGATCAAGTGTAATATATTATAAAAAATAAAGCAAACTGGATGGAATATGGGGAAAAATGCACAAAATTATTTTTTAATCTTCAACATAGGAATGCTACCAAAAAGAACTTAATGAAACTGGTTACAATTGATGGAGTCACCCATAATTCACCAAATGATGTTTTGAAGGAAGAAACAAAGTACTTTAAGCATATGTTTTCTTTTCAGTCGCCTCCATCTCCTTTAACTGAAGCTAATTGTAGAGATTTTTTTCTATTGATAATGTCAAATTAACAGCCACACAGAAAGACTCATGTGAAGGTGAAATTACAGAGGAGGAACTTCTGGATGCAATTAAAGACTTTAAGTCTGGGAAAACTCCAGGGTTGGATGGCATACCAGTCGAGGTATACCAAACCTTTTTTGATATACTAAGAGGACCGTTATTAGCATGTTTTAACCACTCCTATGTAAATGGTAGATTATCTGACACTCAAGAAGAAGGTCTGATCTCATTATTACTGAAACAGGATACAAGTGGAAAATATAAAGATCCAGTCCATTTACAAAATTGGAGGCCCCTTACACTTCAGTGTTGTGATGCAAAAATTCTAGCAAAATGTATAGCGCATAGAATTAAAAAGGTATTGTCGGATATTATTCATTCTAATCAGACAGGTTTTTTACATGGAAGATACATTGGAGATAATATAAGGCAAGTATTGGAAACAATAGAACACTATGGAAAATATGGGAAACCAGGCCTGCTATTCATAGCAGACGTCGAAAAGGCATTTGATAAAGTTCGACTGGGGTTTATATATAAATGCCTGGAGCATTTCAATTTTGGAGAATCTCTTATAAAATGGGTCAAAATCATGTATAGGAACCCTAGGTGTAAAATAGTAAATAATGGCTATTTCTCAGAAAGTTTTAAACTGTCAAGAGGAGTGAAACAAGGTTGTCCACTATCGGCATATCTATTTATTGTGGCCATCGAGATGTTAGCTATTAAAATCAGATCCAATAATAATATCAGAGGATTAGAAATCCAGGGCTTAAAAACAAAGGTGTCATTGTACGCTGATGATTCATGTTTTCTTTTAAATCCACAACTAGAATCCCTCCACAGCCTCATAGAGGATCTAGATACATTTTCTAACCTCTCTGGATTACAACCAAATTATGACAAATGTACTATATTACGTATTGGATCACAAAAAAATACAATTTTTACATGACCATGTAGTTTACCAATAAAATGGTCTGATGGTGATGTGGATATACTCGGAATACATATCCCAAAGGAAATAAATGATCTCACTTCAATACATTTTAATAGAAAGTTAGCAAAAATAGATAAGATCTTACTACCATGGAAAGGAAAATACCTGTCAATTTGTGGAAAAATCACCCTGATTAACTCTTTAGTATTATCCCAGTTTACCTATTTGCTTATGGTCTTGCCTACGCCTAGCGAACAGTTTTTTAAATTATATGAGAAAAAAATATTCAATTTTATTTGGAACGGCAAGCCAGACAAAATTAAAAGGGCATATTTATATAATGAATATGAATTCGGAGGACATAAATTATTAAATATTAAAGCATTAGACCTATCACTAAAAGCTTCAGTCATACAAAAGGTATACTTAAATCCGAACTGGTTCTCAAGCAAATTAGTAAGATTGTCTCACCCAATGTTCAAGAAATACCTTTTTCCCTTTATTCAGATTACAACAACTCATTTGCAGTTATTTGAAAAGGAAATCATCTCCCAAATATCACTATTTCTAAAACAAGCCATAGAAAGTTGGTTGCAATTTCAATTTCATCCTCCAGCAATGACAGAACAAATAATGCAACAAATATTGTGGTTAAATTCAAATATACTAATTGACAAAAAACCTTTATTTTTTTGACAGAATGTTTAAAAAAGGTATAATCTTCGTAAATGATATCATCGGTAGGACTGGTGGAGTTATGTCGCACATGCAGCTAACAAAAACATATGGAAATGTCTGCTCTACCCAAAATTGCAACCAAATAATTGCAGCCTTACCGCAAAAGTGGAAGAGGAAAGTGGAAGGGGGAGAAAGTAAGGAACTTGTCTGTCGGCCTTGCATTAAAGAACATAATTGGTTAAGGAAAACTGTGATAAATAAAAAAGTATATCAGTTTCACTTAAGGAACAAAGGATTGACAGCCGTCCCATATAGATTGCAAAATAGTTGGGAAGAGATTTTTGACGTACCGATCCCATGGCATAGTATTTATGAACTGACACGCAAAATGACACCGGATTCAAAAATTAGAATCTTTCAATTTAAATGATTATATAAAATTCTTGCTACCAATAGAATGTTATTTATATGGGGGATACAATCTTCCCAGCTCTGCAGATTTTGCTGTGAAGAGACAGAATCATTAGATCATTTGTTTTGGTTCTGTCCATTTGTAGCTTGTATTTGGACACAGGTCCAGGAATGGCTAAAGGATTGCAATATTTACCTGGAGCTAACCTTGCAGATAGCACTACTGGGTGATCTGAAAAGTCATAGTCAATCGATCAATAATATAATAATACTTTTAGCAAAAATGTTTATTTTTAATTCACAATCTGTAGAAGCAATGAGAATAGAAAGGTTCAGAACATTTGTAAAACATCACAGTACGGTTGAAATATATATGGCAAATAGAAATCCTATATGGATGGTGTTAAGATATAGATGGGAGGTATTGAATAGAGTTGAAGGATGGGACTAATAACAAATAACAACAAATAATAACAAAGATAGCTAATAATGATAGCTAATAATAGCTAATAAGGTTGTATGTTGGGAGCTTTTGGGAAAGAGCACAGTTAGAAAGATATGGCATATAGAAGCAAACCGGATGGACATCATGAAAATGATCGGAGAGGTTGAGAGTAGAAGAAGTTCAGGAGCAAAAAAAATATATATAATATAATTATTGTAAAATTAACTGTGTCCATAAGGTGTAGATAGTAAGTATAGACCGGAAGTAGAGGCCTGGGCATTGTTGTTCACTAATTTACTCTAAGTAGGTAAAGCATGGCGGGGTTGAAAAGTAATAAAGGGTAGTATATATATAAAAAACATGGGGGATTGGAAGTGATGCAGACAATTACATTGATAGAAGATACAATCTATCTGCAATATTAAGCTGATCCACCCCCCACCCCCCAAAAAAAATAAAAAAAATAAAAAAATAACAAAGGTAGGAAGTGCAGAGTAGCTGTAGTGGAAATTATAGCGTATACAGTGCCTTGCAAAAGTATTTATCCCCCTTGCCGTTTTTCCTATTTTGTTGCATTACAACCTGTAATTTAAAATAATTTTTATTTACATTTCATGTAATGGACATACACAAAATAGTCCCAATTGGTGAAGTGGAATGAAAAAAATAACTTGTTAAAAAAAAATTGAAATAATAAAAAACGAAAAGTGGTGCGTGCATATGTATTCACCCCCTTTGCTATGAAGCCCCTAAATAAGATCTGGTGCAACCAATTACCTTCAGAAGTCACATAATTAGTTAAATAAAGTCCACCTATGTGCAATCTAAGTGTCACATGATCTGTCACATGATCTCAGTATATATACACCTGTTCTGAAATGCCCCAGAGTCTGCAACACCACTAAGCAAGGGGCACCACCAAGCAAGCGGCACCATGAAGACCAAGGAGCTCTCCAAACAGGTCAGGGACAAAGTTGTGGAGAAGTACAGATCAGGGTTGGGTTATAAAAAAACATCCCACGGAGCACCATTAAATCCATTATAATTTTTTTTAAAGAATATGGCACCACAACAAACCTGCCAAGAGAGGGCCGCCCACCAAAACTCACGGATCAGACAAGGCAGGCATTAATTAGAGAGGCAACAAAGAGACCAAAGATAACCCTGAAGGAGCTGCAAAGCTCCACAGCAGAGATTGGAGTATCTGTCCATAGGACCACTTTAAGCCGTACACTCCACAGAACTGGGCTTTACGGAAGAGTGGCCAGAAAAAAGCCATTGCTTAAAGAAAAAAATAAGCAAACACATTTGGTGTTTGCCAAAAGGCATGTGGGAGACTCCCCAAACATATGGAAGAAGGTACTCTGGTCAGATGAGACTAAAATTTAGCTTTTTGGCCATCAAGGAAAACGCTATGTCTGGCGCAAACCCAACACCTCTCATTACCCCGAGAACACCATCCCCACAGTGAAACATGGTGGTGGCAGCATCATGGTGTGGGGATGTTTTTCATCGGCAGGGACTGGGAAACTGGTCAGAATTGAAGGAATGATGGATGGCGCTAAATACAGGGAAATTCTTGAGGGAAACCTGTTTCAGTCTTCCAGAGATTTGAGACTGGGACGGAGGTTCAACTTCCAGCAGGACAATGACCCTAAACATACTTCTAAAGCAACACTCAAGTGGTTTAAGGGGAAACATTTAAATGTCTTGGAATGGCCTAGTCAAAGCCCAGACCTCAATCCAATTGAGAATCTGTGTTATGACTTAAAGATTGCTGTACACCAGCGGAACCCATCCAATTTGAAGGAGCTGGAGCAGCTTTGACTTGAAGAATGGGCAAAAATCCCAGTGGCTAGATGTGCCAAGCTTATAGAGACATACCCCAAGAGACTTGCAACTGTAATTGCTGCAAAAGGTGGCTCTACAAAGTATTGACTTTGGGGGGGGGGTGAATAGTCATGCATGCTCAAGTTCTGTTTTTTTGTCTTATTTCTTGTTTGTTTCACACCCCAAAAAATATTTAGCATCTTCAAAGTGGTAGGCATGTTGTGTAAATCAAATGATACAAACCTCCCAAAATCCATTTTAATTCCAGGTTGTAAGGCAACAAAATAGGAAAAATGCCAAGGGGGGTGAATCTTTCGCAAGCCACTGTATTTCAGACTGCAGTGCATATTATAGCATGGCTCTATGCCACGTCACTCACATAACTACACGTGAAGGGATTTTTAATCTCAGCCGTGCCAAATCATACTGATTTATTGGCTGAAACACTTATGTAGCGAGCTTTTGCACCACAACAGATGTTTCCAGAGGTGAAAAGAAATAACAAACTAAATTCCAGTAAATCATTAAACTGTCTTATATTGACACTTACGTTTTTGGCCTCATAACCTTTATTTTCCTTTTTGTTCTTCCTCTCTCTCATGCTTGATTAATATTTTAAATAGCAGTTTAAAAAATGTGCACCCTGCTAACTAACACTTAGTAAGTCTTCTCCCATAAGAATTCCTGAGCAGTACAGTGACAGAGACAGTACCTGCAGTGGACCAGCATAGGGCCCATCTCCGGGGTTTGGGAGGCAGAGGACCTTCTGACAAAGGTGAGCACGGGCAGGGTGTACTCAGGGACCCCCATGTCAGGCCACTGGGTGTAGTGGTACTGCACCACCGTCCTCTCACTCTGACGCCCCTTAGGATTCCCCTTCTGTCCCTGGGAGAGAGGGACGGAGGAAGAGGGAGGAGGGCAATAGAGAGAAGACCCATTGATTAGTATGTTTCTACATGATGAGAAGTAAATGAGATATCACGTTAGGGGCATCGCAGTGCTTGAAGCGTCACTACAGATCCGTGTTCGATCCCGGGCTGTGTCGCAGCCGGCCGCGACCGGGAGACCCATGAGGCGGCGCACAATTGGCCCAGCGTCGTCCGGGTTAGGGGAGTGTTTGGCCGGCCGGGATGTCCTTGTCCCATCGCGCTCTAGCGACTCCTTGTTGCGGGCCGGGTGCATGCACGCTGACACGGTCTCCAGTTGTACGGTGTTTCCTCCAACACATTGGTGCGGCTGGCTTCCGGGTTAAGCGAGCAGTGTGTCAAGAAGCTGTGCGGCTTGGCAGGGTCGTGTTTCGGGAGTTGCAGCGATGGGACAAGACTGTAACTACCAATTGGATATCACAAAATTGGGGAGAAAAAATTATAACTTTTCAATAACACTGAGACCAGTAGAACAGGATCACCTGAAAACACAGGTATGGAGACCTGTACCACTGTGACTGACCTTTTTTATTTTTGTGTTGCGCACAGTGAAGCGTCGTAGCGTGTAGCAGGCGTGCACTTTGGTGCTCTTTAGCATGACCACAATGTTTCCATACTCCTCGCTGTTCTCTGTGGGCCAGTACTGGTCACATTTTCTCTGCAGGGACACAACACAAAGGACTAGGACCACTTATTTCAATGAATCACAAAGAAACCAAAAGGTTATTACGTGGTTACTAAAAAGTAATGACTATTTTAGTACTGAGAGGGAAGAGATCTATTGAATTGAAGTGTACATACCCTTCCTTTCTCCACCAGGTTGGTGATCATGACGATGATACCAGTGTTCTGTTCCCACACCATCCTCCAGAAGTCCTCAAAGGTGGACTTGAGAGGACCCTGGGCTGCGATGTAGGCCTTGGGCTTGTTATAGCCCTACCATACACAGGGAAACATGGTGAGAGGCCATTCAGAACACAAACACTATGCAAAGATATTGACTTGCTTTGAACTTCAATACATTACACATATTGTACACACATGCATGAAATATGCAATTCACAAACTAACTCTCACACAAATACACACTTACACGACCAGACCAGATGGGCCATAAGAGATACACTCACATCAACATAATTGGCATTGATGTAGTCGCTGTGTTTGGAGTCCTTCCCAGCTAATGGCCGTAGCTTCACCCGGCTGTGGTCGTCTGGAGGAGAGAGACAGGGACAGTTAGTGTCTGTGTGTGTGTGCTTGTGTCACATTCCTAGCACTACATATTCTGTCAGTTTTGAAGACACCAGTAGTCTAGATGATGACAGCTGTACTCTGACAAGCAGTAACTGTGTGACATGAAGCATCAAAGCAGTGGTGTGATAGCCTTTCATGGTCCTGTATTGTGATGTGTGCACTACTTACAGGCCACGATGTTGATGTATCTGTTCTTGTGCTTGTTGTCTGGATGGTTGGAGTGCTCCGACGTGATCTTCATGTCCACCGTGCATCGCTGCACCTCCTGTGGGAGCGAGAGACACACACACCAAAGATGACATTTTGGAGCGTGGTGAAAAGAGAGGTTTTGACATAAATGCCGGTGCTGTGAGTTATACAGGCATTTCTGGTGACATCTCAGCAATTTTACGCTGTCAGAATGTGATTGACACAGTAACAGACACAGGGCAGATCTCTCTCTCTCTCTACTCTCTCTCTCTCTCTCTCTCTCTCCCCCCTCTCTTTAAGCAGAAGTTGACACGCTCTCTCCCCTTTAGTGCTGTCACACACTCAGCTAACCATCACGCAATCTTCCCAAACCTCAGCTGCTCTCAAACTCTCACAACATCATTCCAGTTCCAGTAGAACCATAAAGCATGCCAACGACTGAGAAGCTTCATGTAGCAATTATATCAACCATCCTTTAAAGTCATGGCAGAAAACATGCCAAAGATGCTTATATTATCTGTGTGTCTCTATCCGATCAGAAAACCAGAGAATACATGAGTATTATGCTCCATCAGTCAGAGTAGCCTCATAGCAACCAGAACATGGCAATGTTGTATGACAAACCAACAACATTTTTCTGACCTTCTAGCACTAATAGGTAACGTTATGGCCGACCAAAGCCCTCAGTTTGGCTTTAGCCCCTCAGTTATTTACAGATCAACAACCTTGTTTTAGCTTTATAGATGTCTCTCTCTGCAAGGTACAAACAGGAATACTCATTTATTCTGGGCACAGTGGAAGAATTCAGACCCCTCATACAAGGCGGATATATATATATATATATATATATATATATATATATATATATATATATATATATATATAAAAATAATGGGGACAGTAAGACGGGGTACATACTGACTGGAAAGCCACTGGTTGATGTGACCACCAGATGGCACATATACATACAGTACATTACACACAGGCATGCACGCATGCAGTCACAAACACACACACACACACACGCACACACAAACAAACACACACACACAAGCACGTTCATGCACACACATGCATATACACACATACACAAGTACACACACGGAACACGGACACAGCTGCCCACTGGTCCAATTACAGTGTGTATGCCAATGGGGGTGGTGGCATTACAGACTAAGATACTACAAAGTAGAAGATCTCTAGCCAACACCAGGGATAATTCAACCACACTGGACATATGTAGACATTAGAATGACAAGAAGGTTATAAATAACCCCAGAACCCTGTGTGTCTATATGGTGTGAAAGGCGTAAGGGTACAAAGAGTTTCCTGGAACTACAGTAGTACATCTATGAGACATGGTGCAAATGGACACATTTTTATTCACCAAAGTCCTAAGTCATGTCATGTAACCAACATGCTGATATGATGTCTTCTGAATTTGTTTTACTATATTCTCTCTGCAACTCTATCGGTATGCAGTATGCATTCCAGCCCCCCCCCCACTCCCCAGCCTCTCCCCCTGTCTTTACTCATCCTACCCACGTCTCCCTGGGGCCCGGCTGGACAAAGCAACTTGTCAGGGACCGAAGACCCTCCAGCCAAAGGGGTTTCGCTCCGCTGCCTTCCCCCTTTCTCCTGCCTCCTTCCTGGGGACAAATAAAGAGCCGTGGTGAGCACGGAGCACTCCATTCACCCAGGAAAGGGGCCCCCCTTAAACCTTAAAGCACTTACAAGTGTCCATCACACTGGCATGGACAACAAGGGGATGGTGGTGGGGGTGGGGGGAGGAGGTTTTGCTAGCCCCATGAGAAAACTCAGTGCAGTGCAGTACAGACACACCTTCTTCTGGGGAGGGGGCCACTAAGGAATTCTGAGTGGTTTGCTAAGGGCTGAGAAAGTAAGGGTGGGAGAAGAAGAAGAAGAAGAAGAAGAAGAGGGCAGCAGAGTTGGTTTCTAAAACCACAGTGATGAAATAGGAGAGGTAGCCCATTAAAAGCACATATAGCTGCCAGCATGTGATCAAACTCTCCCTCAAAACAGTCTTAGGACCATTGACTGAGACTTTTGGAGGTAGGCTATTTTGCTCTGAATGAAACATGGCTATGTCTGTCCTAAAGGCTATCACCCAGGCACAGAGCATTATTGATCCTCCATTCAGCTTTCTGTCTCTGATCCACACACATCACAAGGTAATTATTGGTTTAGTAAGTAATGTGACAAAGGTTTCCAGACTGATCTTTCTCTCACTCCCTCACTCACTCACTCACTCACTCACGCAGCCAGCCCAGTCAGGAGACACAAGTATAAAGGCTAAAAGGCCTCTCCCAAATCATCTGCTCCATGACCATTAGCAGCACTATGGGAACCTTAAATGGCCCACACACGCACGCACACATGGACACACATTCTGCCTTCACTCACACGGCAAACCAGACACAACACATTAAGATAACAAGTCAATCAGTGGTTAGAGATAGAGCACAGGCCACCTGGCTAACTCTAACCCACCTGGCTAACTAACTCTAACCCACCTGGCTAACTAACTCTAACCCACCTAGCTAACTAACTCTAACCCACCTGGATAACTAACTCTAACCCACCTGGCTAACTAACTCTAACCCACCTGGCTAACTAACTCTAACCCACCTGGCTAACTAACCCTAACCTACCTAGCTAACTAACTCTAACCCACCTGGCTAACTAACTCTAACCCACCTGGCTAACTAACTCTAACCCACCTGGCTAACTAACTCTAACCCACCTGGCTAACTAACTCTAACCCACCTAGCTAACTAACTCTAACCCACCTGGATAATTAACTATAACCCACCTGGATAACTAACTCTAACCCACCTGGCTAACTAACTCTAACCCACCTAGCTAACTAACTCTAACCCACCTGGCTAACTAACTCTAACCCACCTAGCTAACTAACTCTAACCCACCTGGCTAACTAACTCTAACCCACCTAGCTAACTAACTCTAACCCACCTGGCTAACTAACTCTAACCCACCTGGATAACTCTAACTCTAACCCACCTGGCTAACTAACTCTAACCCACCTGGCTAACTAACTCTAACCCACCTAGCTAACTAACTCTAACCCACCTGGATAACTAACTCTAACCCACCTGGCTAACTAACTCTAACCCACCTAGCTAACTAACTCTAACCTACCTGGATAACTAACTCTAACCCACCTGGCTGAGATGCTAGTCCAACTCCAGCCAGTCTATTGTGGTGTTAAGACTGCATATAAAACAACAGAGAGAGCAGTTCTTTACCTCAAAGTTCTCTGAGAAGCCATGCTGGTTGTTGGAGTAGAGCTCTGAGATGTGTTTGATGAACTGCTTGACAGAGATGGCCTCCATGTCATCTGAAAGGGAGACAATACCACACAATTAGACACTTAGTCAGAAACACACAGTCACAGTTCGAGTTCAGCACACACTTGTGTCTGGGGAATACATGGGAAAGTGTAGCAGAGGAACTGAGGTACGTACTCAAGATAAACAGGTTTAATGTACACTACAATGTTTATACCAACCCTCTCTACACTATCTCTCTACACTATCTCTAGGATCTCTGCAACCTGTAATGCCTGTTGAATATATGTCTTGAATATCTATCTTCAACTTAAAAGACAGAGTGATGCAACACATGCAGGAAAGCAGCAGAAAACTAATTTAAAACGAAAAAGGAGAGGTGAGAGTAATCGCGGCGCCGTCTGCTCTTCCACTCACTATGCTATGTTAAATATTTCACCAATATTTCACCAAGACAAATGAAAGAATGGGTTATTAATGTCCATCAGCTTATGTTTCATATAGGTGAGGTAAGTTCACAGCTTTCATCTCAAGCAGCGTCATTAATGATTCACAGTCTCAATCTGGTCCTGGTTTTATTCACTTCTTCACAAAACGGGGTAAAAATAGCGAAGGGAAGATTTCCTAAGGAGTGTGATTGTGGAGAGTAATGAGGGAGATGGAGCTCATCTTGGTGAATGTCCTGTCCTAACTGTGCCTGTGGGAACCTCTCTAAACACTTGTTTAGTGAGACATACGGAGAGCTGGGCTGAACTAACGTTTCATCCACCGAATGGGAAATCACACACTCAAACACGTGTATGAACACACACACCTACTGTATGCACGCACGCACACACTTATTTACACACATGCAAACACGTGTGCACACACACAGAGTGAATGTTTCATAGAGCCAACTTAAGGGATATGGCAGCCTATACTTTTAGATCTTAGCCCAAATGATAATGGTACTTCATAGGACATGCTGTTAACTACAGTGCCCGTTGAAAGCACCCAAATCCATATCTGTACCCCCCTCTGTGTCCTGCTCATAAAATATTGAGAGGAATATTAAGCATGCAAATGCCACTAATCATATCCTTATAGTAAACACAACATATGGCAATAAAAGGAGGTTCAAGATGTCAAACAGCTTCATAAAAAATGTATTAGACATAATTGTCAAAAAAATGTGCCTTTGAAAAATGGTAGTTGGAAATACAATGGAGTAAAATATTGTGGTGTGTGGTATGTCTCTGGTAGTTAGGTATGTGGTGTGTGGTATGTCTCTGGTAGTTAGGTATGTGGTGTGTGGTATGTCTCTGGTAGTTAGGTATGTGGTGTGTGGTATGTCTCTGGTAGTTAGGTATGTGGTGTGTCTCTGGTAGTTAGGTATGTGGTGTGTGGTATGTCTCTGGTAGTTAGGTATGTGGTGTGTTTCTCTGCTGCTCATATTATCATGAGGTTGAAATCCCCAGAGAGAGAGAGAGATGTCAGGGAGGCTTAGAGAGGTGGTGGTGGTGGTGGTGGGGTGTCAGTTGAGACAATTAGCGCTGTGAGAAGCAGGTTAATCATTGTGGTCACATTGGGCCGTCCCCTCACTGCTGCTCATTCTCCCATAGATCACTGCAGACCCACTGGGGCTGTTGATACAGTATACAGACTGAGTCTACTGTTTTTACTGCTTTATCTGAGGGAATTAACCAGTAATCTTTAGCTTCATTTCTGCACAAATGTATTTAAAGAAAGAGTATGCCTATTTCAGTCCTCCAAACCCCTGATCAAGATCAAAACAACCCAGAAACAACCCTCTAATCAACATTAGGCTATTCTATAAACATTGTCTTACATCATAGTCAATATAGTCTAATAAAGCCACATACCTGTTGATACCTCGCTAGGAGTTACAATCTGCTGGGGAGAATGTAGAGTACTGAAGTAGGTTCTCAAAGTTAAGACCCTTTTAAGGAGGAGGAGAGAGGTCTTCTGGTGCCCACTTTATAAGCCTGCCCTGTCCCTGATCTGGGAAGTGCTTTGCCATTGGTTTAAATAGGCACATTGGACACAGCTCTCTGTGCCAAAGCCCATTGTGAAGGGCACTCAGTCAGTCCAAATGGATTTGGATGCTGGGGGAGAATCTTGGATGTAAGGGGAGATGTTAGATATGGAAGAGTGGGTCTTTGAGGGTCAATCTCCATGCCTCTTAGGTTTGATCCACTGGCTGGACAGAGTGAGAGAGAGAGAGATCCAGCACTCCTCTACCCTCCTCCCCTTCCATCCTCCTTTAACATGGTGCATTTGGGCTAAACCAATGACGACAGGGAACGCTCATAAATGGGTTTAAACACTAACATGAATGAGCGCACACAAACACCTGTACACACTCATCACATAATTATGAGGGAACAGTGTGTTCTAGCATAACAACACCAGTACTGATCACACACATGCACATCTCAATGCACACACTATGCATCACTAACAGATCCTTTGGAAAAACAACAACATATTTGGAATAACTATTCATTTACTCTTCAACAGAGCCCATATGTCACGCCCTGGCTCTGGGGACTCTGAAATGTTGAGCCAAGGTGTGTAGTTTCTGTGGTATATTTTCTAGCCTGTTTGGCACTAGTCGGTGTGGGATCTTGTTCCGTTAAGGTTTGTTTTGTGTAACCTAGGATTTCATGTTTCGTTTGTTTGTTGTTTTGTCGTGAGTTAAGTACTTAATAAAATGTACGCTTATCACGCTGCGCCTTGGTCCGTATCTTCCATAAACGATCGTGACAGAAGATCCCACCAAAAGAGGACCAAGCAGCGTGTCCAGGAACAGACAGCCTGGACCTGGGAGGAGATCCTGGACGGGAAGGGATCCTGGACTTGGGAGGAGATTCAGGCCGGAATGGATCGCCGTCCTTGGGAGGAGACTGTGGAGGTGCGCTATAGAGAGGAGCAGCGGCAACGCAGAGGGTACCGGCCGAGGAGGAAGCCCGAGAGACAGCCCCAAGAAAATGTTTGGGGGGGGCTAAAAGGGTGGTTGGCGGAGCCTAGGGTTAGAGCAGAGCCAACTCCCCGTACTCAGGCTAGGAAGCGTATGACTGGGCAAGCTCTGTGTTATGCGGAGCTACGTACTGTGCCGCGAGTGTTCCGGCACAGTCCTGTACATCCTGTGCTAGCACCACGCACGTGTCGTGCAAAGATGGGCATTCAGCCAGGACGGGGTGTGCCGGCTCAACGCTCGTGGTCTCCAGTACGCCTCCTCGGTCCCGTATATCCTGCGCCAGTGCCAAGTGCTGTAGCGCCAGTACGAGTGCACAGCCCCGTACGTCCTGTGCTGATGCCTCACACGTATTGTGTGGAAGTAGGCATTCAGCCAGGACGGGTTGTGTCAGCTCTCCGCTCCAGACCTCCAGTCCGCCTCCACAGTCCGGCCCGGCCCGTTCCGGCTCCCCGCACCAAGCCAGTGGTGCGTGTTCCCAGTCCAGCCCGGCCTGTTCCTGCTCCCCGCACCAAGCCAGTGGTGCGTGTTCCCAGTCCGGTCCGGCCTGTTCCTGTCCCTCGTGCCAAGCCAGTGGTGCGCGTCGCCAGCCCGGTCCGGCCTGTTCCTGTCCCTCGCGCCAAGCCAGTGGTGCGCGTCGCCAGCCCGGTCCGGCCTGTTCCTGTCCCTCGCGCCAAGCCAGTGGTGCGCGTCGCCAGCCCGGTCCGGCCTGTTCCTGCCCCTCGCACCAAGTGGGATCTTGTTCCGTTAAGGTTTGTTTTGTGTAACCTAGGACTTTACGTTTCGTTTGTTTGTTGTTTTGTCGTGAGTTAAGTACTTAATAAAATGTACGCTTATCACGCTGCGCCTTGGTTCGTATCTTCCATAAACGATCGTGACACCATAGAGGTGGCTGGATGTTGAAATAGTGGTCTCATGTAAGGAGATTGGTCATATGCAGTCTCATATGGTTTCTCTACTGTATGTGAGTGGTGTCTGTACAGGTTGTACATTATTGATGCCTAAAGGATTCCAATGAAACCAGAGAGGAGCAGAACTATGTGGGACTAGGCTACTCCCCCTTGACCCTGAGTGTCTATTACACTGACCACAGTCAGAAAGTGAAAGTTTGGTCAACTTCCGAGCTGGGCGCCATGTTGTTGCGATAAGCATTCCACTCATCCATTCATGATTCCTGGAGTACTATGGGGATAAAAGGGATGCTCTAATTGGTGCTTACCTGGGATGGGGATGACAGGGATGTTCTCATTGGGCACCACTCTGGGAGAGCTACTGTCTTCTACGTAGAAATGAGCCGTCTGGAAACACCTCCTGAGAGGGAGAGAGAGAGAGAGAGAGATGGTACAGACTCAGTGAGCATAGCCTTGCTATTGAGAAAGGCCGCCGTAGGTAGACCTGGCTCTCAAGAGAAGACAGGCTATGTGCACACTGCCCACAAAATGAGGTGGAAACTGAGCTGCACTTCCTAACCTCCTGCCAAATTTATGACCATATTAGAGACACATATTTCCCTCAGATTACAGAGATCCACAAAGAATTCGAAAACAAACCCAATTTTGATAAACTCCCTTATCTACTGGGTGAAATACCACAGTGTGCCATCACAGCAGCAATATTTGTGACCAGTTGCCACAAGAAAAGGGCAACCAGTGAAGAACAAACACCATTGTAAATACAACCCATATTTATGTTTATTTATTTTCCTATTTGTACTTTAGCTATTTGCACATTGTTACAACACTGTATATTTACATAATATGGCACGTGAAATGTCTTTATTCTTTTGGAACTTCTGAGTGTAATGTTTACTGTTAATATTTATTGTTTATTTCACTTTTGTTTACTATCTACTTCACTTGCTTTGGCAATGTTAGCATACTTTCCCATGCCAATAAAGCCCTTAAATTGAATTGAATTGAATTGAGAGAGAGAGCGAGAAACGCACATCGTCAGTGACACGTTAGACCTGTGAATAATGTATCAGCATTGTCATCAGCGACGCCACAGGTGCCAATCCCCCCCAAAGCAAACACAGATGGTGCTGGAGACGTGGAACAGGATCAAGGTGTACTTTGAACTCCTCCAGAGCAGGCGAACATGAGCGTAAACACACAGTCACACACACACTCTCACAGCTCTCACACAGTCAGAGTGAAGACTCACATAAACACTAAGAGAATCCATTTGTTTTCAGTTTAAGCATACTGAATGTCTGAGGTCAAACAAAGATGAAGAGGGCAAAGTACACATAGAAACAAGATTACTGGACGCGTGTCTGGAAAGACATCCAGCTCTAGACTAAGCACTGACTTCAGGAAAGTGAACTGTACATAAACATATTACACTTTACGCTTCAGCAAAGAGCTCTCCTCTAACAGAGATAACAGCTACAATATGGAAACAATGTAAAGAGTAAAAAATTAACTGTTCCTCTCTTTAAAAATCTCAAAGTGAAAGAATAACTAGCCTACTTATTTCTTCCTCAATGACAGCACTCCAAACGAATAAGCCTGGCGAGAACCTCACCCCTTAAAAAGAGGATATAGGTGAGAAAAGGAAAACAGATAAATAATCTTTGTAGGAGAGAGGAGCATAGGTCTGAGCTTGAACCAGAGGCTACATACCAAATACAGAGTAAAGTCACTGTACGTGTGTGTCTATGGTCCTACTCCTACCTGTAGTTTATGCAGAGTAGATTGCAGAAACTGGTCATCCTAGAGAGTGAAGAAGAGGAGAGACAGAACAGCCTTTGCCGGCAGCGTCTGCATGCTGAACCAGACCAGCAGACGGAGGAGAAGAGAGGAGGAGTAGAGGGGAGGGCTTCCCTGTCCTCTCTGCTCTAACATTTATATTTGAGTCATTTAGCGGACGCACTTATCCTAATAGTCCCCCATAGGAATCGAACCCACAACCCTGGCGTTGCAAGCACCATGCGCTACCAACTGAGCCACACAGGACCACAAACAAGCCGGAGGAGCAACGGCCTCTCTCTCTCTGTCTAGTAACAGTTCCTAGATCTTTCCCCAGTAATTCTCCTGTGTGTTTATAGTCAGGCTCAGGGTTGGTTGACCTAATCTCAGACCAGTCATTACCAGGTCATTACTCATTGGCGGGCTTACTGTCCACAGGCAGCCAATGTGGTCCCGGCGGGGGAGGGGTCACAAGGCAACATGGAGCTCTGCTCCACAATAGGATTAGAATTACCCAACACTCCCCTCTCACGCCTCAGACACCTGCTACTGCCCAGGAGACCTTGAGCTCAAGCCCCACCCGTTCGTCTGTGTATGTGTGTGTGTGTGTATGAATAGATAGTCTACTGTGACAGATCCCCTGGGCCTACAGCGTCTGGGGGGCTGTCACCATCCAGACAACATCTCTGTAACACCAGGAACTTTATCTCTGACACACACACACACACGCGCGCGCACGCGCACGCGCGCGCACACGCACGCACGCGCACACGCACACACACACACACACACACACACACACACACACACACACACACACACACACACACACACAGTTGTCTGATCCGCAGGACACAAAGGTAGGCTCAGCACACACTCTGTGCTCAGGTCACCCAGGCTAGGTAGGATAAGCTGAGTCTAAATGCTAGTTTAACCCAAACAGCCAGCCTAATCTTCCTTAGCCTGCTGCTGCAGCCATGAGCTCTGCCATATGTTCTCCCCAGAGGCCCCCTACAGGCCTCAGGGGGTGCTGCACTTCCATTAGCCTTTGTGACAGAGCCCTATGAACACCACGGGTAAAGGTTACCCTCCAGGCACAGATCAAGGATGAGCTTACCCTCCTGAAATCCTACAACCTTAACCATTAGGGCGGAAACATAAAACTGACCTGAGATCAGTGTCTAGGGACAGCTTCCTCCTGCTCTGCTGGGTCTCAATGAGGGGCTAATCATTTGGCCATGGCTGAGGACCTTTAATGGAGCCGGGGGTGAGAGGTCACGGCCCTCACTCAGAGGAGAGATGGTCTTTGAACCCAGGCTGGCATTAAACGCCTATTTGAAGTGCTATGGATGAGCTTTGATGATAAAGACCTGGAGGTCTGACATTGCTCTCTTCAGCATCATAGGAATCATATAAATCTTACAGTAAGAGTTATTGGCTGGAAACTAGTGCTCATTCCCTCAATGCTATCTAGATTATGCTTTTGGTGTGACAGTATTTGCAGATGGGTGAGTGTGTATGTATGTAAACAAGCTTGCTGTTGAATAAATTCAAATGTGCATGCCCTCCACTACGATGGCAGATGCAAAACCCACTGGGTGAGCTCTGTGTCAGTTTTTCACAGTGGCTGCTTGGTGTGTGTGCTCTCACCCCTGAACCCCCATGGCTGAGCCTGCTCTGCTCCAGAGTGGAGCCATGAAGGGGAGCAGATGGCCGGTCATACCCCTGGGCCTTAACCCATGAAGGTGGCAGCAGGGGTCTACTATAGGGCACTGGTGCTGCTGTGGAGAGCAGGGGAGAGCAGGGACAATAGCCAGCTCACACACTGACACATGGAGAGAGACCACAGAGGATGCTCGGGGGGGGGGGGGGGGTTGAATTAGCACTGGAGTGCACAAATCTCACAACGTCTGTTGACCAGCACTGTCTGTAGCATTTCACCCTCCTTCAAACTATCAACACGATTTGGGGAAACATTCTTCCTGACAGGTTTTATTCAGCTACGTGAGTGTGATGTGTCAGTGTGTGTTATGGTGCCCACCTCCAGTAGACGAGCACGGCCAGCAGCAGGATGAGGCAGACGAAGGTGAGGGCAGAGACCACCATCAGGGGGATGATCCACTCCATCCTGCCCACCCCGGGGGCACCCTGCCGGGTCAGGTTGGACACGCTTGTCCTCTCTGAAACAGAAGGAGAGGAGACACAATCAGTCAGAATAACAGCAACATTTACTGGACAATATGGGGATACTGATCTGGAAGTGGAGAGGTAAGGAATGAGGTCGAAGACACATTTAGCCAGGGTTAACTCAGCTTCACAAAGGTACAAAACAAGCCACAAACGAATGATAAACAATGATGTCTTAAAATTAGCTTGCCATCTTATCAACCAAAGACTCATGTTACCGGCCGATTTACCTTGGTAAAGTGCTGACTACATGATCAGCCAGAATGTTTGCCCAGAAACCACCACTCTATGTAGACTGGTGTGGTACTATTCCATAATACTCAAAAAACATGCTGTGAATCTTTAGCCGTGCCTACCAAAGAAACAGTAGCCTCTCTCTTTAGCCGTGCCTACCAAATAAACAGTAGCCTCTCTTCATACCAAATGCTACCAGCGACAACACATTCCTGTCCTGTCAAAGACAGGTATTCTAAAGTTAGCCACACTACCTGCCAAAATCTATCAACATCATCAGCACCTCAACCTACTGTATCTAGACTGGAGCTTTACACAGACAGCAACAACCCTGGATCACATTCAATAGGCACACACAGGAGAAAACATGTTCAATAACAACAAAAAACGGTAAAGATGAATTGATATTGGATACGTCTAGAACATCAACAATCAAAACATCCTCTGTTTATGAAGAAAACCCTGGTACTACATAGCCAGCCTGTCTTACTACCCAGATGCTCCACTATATCCCATCCATCCTGAGGCACTAAAGCCACTGAGCACGCCCCCCTCCCCGCTACCCCGCTACCCTACCTACCCAGGGCTGGTTCTCCTGCGGTGCTGTTCCTGGCCGCCCCCATGGCTTCACTCTGCAGCAGGAGCCCGGGCGGTAGTGGTAGTGGCACAGTGGGGGTAGTCCTGGGAATCAGAGACAACAGCCCCCTGCACTGCAGCACAGCCAGCCGCTACCACAGCCTCTCTCTCTCTCCCCCCCATCCACACACACCAGGCAGGCAGCGGAACCATGATGTGCTGCTGTGCTCTTCTCTGCTCTGCTCTCTCCTGTCTGCCTCTCACGCTAACACGAGTCGTCCCGAAAAAACAACGCTAGCGGAAGTACGCAGGGACGCACAGGGGCACACATGCATATTGATGCCACACAAACAAACAAACAAACACACACACACCAATGGTCTACATGACTCAAGTGCTAGGCAGGGAGCTATTAATGAAGCAGAGGGTTTTTTACCCTGCAGCTGCGTCTCTGCTCTGAGCTCATGTCACCGGCTCTGAAAGTAGGCCAGCACTAAATAGAACACAGAGGAGGGAGAGAGAGGAGGAAGGAGAGAGGAGGAAGGAGAGAGAGGAGGAAGGAGAGAGGAGGAAGTAGAGAGAGGAGGAAGTAGAGAGAGGACGAAGGAGAGAGAGGAGGAAGGAGAGAGAGGAGGAAGGAGAGAGAGGAGGAAGGAAAGAGAGGAGGAAGGAAAGAGAGGAGGAAGGAGAGAGAGGAGGAAGGAGAGAGGAGGAAGGAGAGAGAGGAGGACGGAGAGAGGAGGAAGGAGAGAGGAGGAAGGAGAGAGGAGGAAGGAGAGAGAGGAGGAAGGAGAGAGGAGGAAGGAGAGAGAGGAGGAAGGAGAGAGGAGGAGGGAGAGAGAGGAGGAAGGAGAGAGGAGGAAGGAGAGAGGAGGAAGGAGAGAGAGGAGGAAGGAGAGAGGAGGAAGGAGAGAGGAGGAAGGAGAGAGAGGAGGAATGGGAAACAACAAGGATGGAAAGAGGGAGTGAGAAAGACAAGGAAGGAGAGAAAGAGAGGGAGTGGTAAAGACGAGGAATGAGAAAGCTGGGAGTGGGAGAGATAAGAAAGAAGGGGTAGTGGGAGTGAGAAAGATGAGGAAGTAGAGGGAGTGGGAAAGAAGGAAGGAAAGAGAGGGGAGAGTCCTATCCTACAGAAACGTGTATCAAATACACATCTTCAAGTTATTGTTTTAGCGAGTAACTCATATTCACCCTTCATATTGTATGAACAGCTTTAGTTACATAGACGTAACTGTATACCCGTATTTCCTGTGAAAATCATAATATTATGGTTTTCCATTAAATGTATATTACAGTATAACCCAGCAGACCTAGTCAATATTGCATACAGTCTACTGTAGTTAAGACTGTCTGCAAGGCAGTGGCAGTTTAAAACCCTTAACTGTACTTCCAGCAGTGTGTGTTCAGCATTAGCCACAGTCTCTCAGCATGTAGAGAGCTCTCCTGGGCAGATAGGTCACTTTAATACTTTCAACACCTACTGTATGTCATTCAGTATAACCATACAGGGCCTTCGGAAAGTATTCAGACCCCTTGACTTTTTCCACATTTTGTTACGTTATGTGCCTTTTACTGAGGAGTGGGTTCCGTCTGGCTACTCTACCATAAAGGCCTGATTGGTGGAGAGCTGCAGAGATGGTTGTCCTTCTGGAAGGTTCTCCTATCTCCATAGAGGAAATCTAGAGCTCTGTCAGAGTGAACACCAGGTTATTGGTCACCTCCATGACCAAGGCCCTTCTCCCCCCATTGCTCAGTTTGGCCGGGCGGCCAGCTCTAGAAAGAGTCTTGGTGGTTCCAAACATCTTCCATTTAAGAATGATGGAGGCCACTGTGTTCTTGGGGACCTTCAATGCTGCAGACATTTTTTGATACCCTTCCCCAGATATGTGCCCCGACACAATCCAGTCTCGGAGCTCTACGGACAATTCCTTCGACCTTATGGCTTGGTTTTTGCTATGACATGCACTGTCAACTGTGGGACCTTATATAGACAGGTGTGTGCCTTTCCAAATCATGTCCAATCAATTGAATTTAACACAGGTGGACTCCAATCAAGTTGTAGAAACATCTCAAGGATGATTGATGGAAACAGGATGCGCCTTAGCTCAATTTCGAGTCTCATAGCAAAGGGTCTGAAAACGTATGTAAATCATTCTAAAACCCTGTTTTCGCTTTCTCATTATGGGGTATTGTGTGTAGATTGCTGAGGGATTTTTTTTTAAAAATCAATTTTAGAATAAATGTGGAAAAAGTCAAGGGGTCTGAATACTTTCCGAAGGCACTGTATGTGTGTAGGTGTTGGTGTGGGTGTAAATGGGTATGTGTGGGTATGAAAAAGCCTCTAAACTGAACCATGGTGTGTCTAATACAAGGCTGTCATATTCCTTTCCACTTTATAGTCATATTATTAGGAATCACATACTGTGGAAAGGAAAAAGAACAAGTGGAGACAGGGAGTACAATTTGGTCTCGGATCCAATCCTGATGCCCTTTCATTATTTTACTCAGATTCAAGATTAACTGAAAAGTACATAGTATAATGCATGTTCTCACCTGTGTGTATGGAGAAAGGCCAGTGGCTCTTGTTCCCTCCTGTGCTGGGCCTGAGGGTGGGGGAGGGGCTGTCTGGGGCTGGGAACTCTGCCGGGTTATTCCCTGGCTCCGTGGTAGGGGGCACCACCGTGTCTGTCTCCACCGTGCTCTGTGTGTGTGTCACCAGCTGGTCCTCCACAGCACTAGAGGGCGTAGTGCTGCTGGTGTTAGTCTCAGAGTCCCCTTCTTCTCTTCCTTTCTCTTTGGCAGTCGAGGCTGGGGCGGTCGTGGGATGCTCTTTCACCACCGTGCTGTTCATCTGCTTCTCTACCTTGTCCGCCACTGTCGCTTTCTTCTCTTTCGTCTCTTTCTCTTTCTCCTCCTCGTCTTCCTCCTTATCCTCCTCTCCTTCCTTCTCTCCCTCCTCTCCCTCACTTTTTGCACCTTTCTCCCTGTCCTCGGCTCCCTCTCCGTTGTCTTTGGCTGCGTCAGCGCTCTGGGAGGCTGCAGGTTCGGTGGTGGGCTGACGAGGGGGGGCAGCGGTGGGATTCTGTCTGGAAGCAGAAGCTTTGGTCGGCCACACAGAACTGGGAAAGGAGGAGATGACCCCACCACTGAACCCCAGCCCAGCCAGGAGGGTACTGGTCACCACGGAGGCCACCGTCGCCTGGCTACCACTGGAGGACGGGCCGATGCCTGTCGCCATGGAGACGAAGGAGAAAGGGAGGCCGGAGGAGGTCCAGGTGGAGGAGCCGGAGCTGATGGGAGCCATGTCAGCTGAAGAGGCCGGAGAGACGGTGGGCTAGAGAAAGAAACGACAAGCGAAAAGGGGTGAGAGGGTAAGAAAAGGAGGGAAAAGAGAGACAGACAGGGCAGTAGAGAAAGGGCTGAGTTACACAACACCTCACATCATAATGTATCCCTTCCTATTTCCTCTTCCCGGCCCCCATGGCTTCACTCCGGGCGGTAGTGGTAGTGGCACAGTGGGGGTAGCCCTGGGAATCAGAGACAACAGCCCCCTGCACTGCAGCACTCTCTCTCTCCCCCCCCATCCACACACACCAGGCAGGCAGCAGAACCATGGTGGAAGAATATTTACATGCCATATCAACCCATCAGTAATCATGTAAATGTAGAACTGTTTCATCAACTGAAAGGAGAAATAAGTCAAGTACGTGATATGCTATCTTCTGCTCAATATTGATATTTCATTAACATCTGTGGACTGACAAGTAGGCTAGTTGAGAGTATCTGAGTCACAGTGGATGCATGCTCTCCAGCACAGAAGTTTGATAATGAGACAGTGCTGCTCCCTGCTGGAGAGAGGCAGTACTACAGAGGGTTCACTCAACACTCACCATCCCTGTTTTAACTATCCTTGTTCCTTCAAATATCCTGGTGGTGTTAGCTGAAAGGAGACCATAAAATTAAAACTTCTTAACCAATGATAATCAACATATAGTTTACTGTATAGACAGTGTAATACTGTTATTGATTCTAGCTGCGCAACAAATCAACATAGGCATTTAGACAGACAGAGATATGTGATGAGGAGGAGGAGAGTAGCACTAAACAAGACAACAAAGGAACAAAACAAGAGACAAAGAGATGTGAGATAAATATAAACTGAACGATGCAACGTGAGGGAAATAATTACAGATTGTTTTTACAAAAGTGAAAAGAAAAAATGAAGGAAAGAGGGTGATGATGAGGATGATAATGAGGAAGATGAGGAAGAGTCACCTCTGAAGAGCATGCTCTGGCTGAAGTCACTGCGCATGTCATTCATACACACAGCCTGCACCCGGAACAGGTACAGCACGTCAGGAGACACCGGAGTGATGACAGCTTCCTGTAACACACAACCAGGGGACGTCAGCAGTACACAGGAGCACCACACACATCTACACGTGTCCCTGTGTTTTTGTTGGAGCAGGGCTGCAGGCTCCTGCTGCACACTTCCCCTAAACCCATGTAGCTAGTAGACTGTCTGCTATAGAGGAGGAGTGTGTGTACCATAGAAATATGATGGATTCTATATCTATGGTGTGTACTCCTACACTTAGGGTGGGTGGCAAGAGCACACAGTAATATAGACTCACACACACACACACACATCTATGTCTTACTATACTTATGAGGACTTTCTGGGGACCAACAATTGATTCCCATTCAAAATCCTATTTTCCATAACCTCTTATCCTAAACCTAACCATAACCACTAACACGTAACTTTAACCCTAATTCTAACCCTAACTCCTAAGCCTAAAATAGCCTTTTACAAGTGAGGATCGGCAGAATGTGCTCACTTCTCTGAATTTTAGTTGGTTTATTATTCTTGTGTGGACTTCTGGTAAACTGTGTATACACACACACACACACACACACACACACACACACACACACACACACACACACACACACACACACACACACACACACACACACACACACAGTTTGATGAGTTCTGGCTACCTTCCTGGAGAGGTCACACAGCTTAGCTTAGAATTCTGTCGTGGCTAAAATGATGACATAACACAGCCTGCCCCCATGACCCCAACACAGCACAGAGGGCAGAGGTCACAAATGAAGGTTAGAGCATGGTGGGAAAATATATGCTCTCTCTCTCACTCTCTCTCTCAGTGCGTTTCTTCCCTCAGCTCTCTCTCTCTCTATCTACTTTCCTTCTTTCTGTAGACAACAAACACTGGATTTACCACAGATTATTGAGTGGTAAGATTGTAGGAACACTGTAGCAACAATACATAAAACAACTGAAACCATTTTTAATTAGGATGCAATAAATCACCCTGGGCTGAATATGGGAGGTAGAGACAGGGCTGAGTTACACCTCACATCGTAATGTATCCCTTCCTATTTCCTCTTTATGGTGTACGCATTCCAAATCACACGCCTGAATTATCCCCACGGTGGGGAGATGGAGGTCCAATACACCGCTAAATGCATGAGGAATGGCTATTATCATAACTCACATTCTCTGGTGTCCGATCACCAGGGAGGGCTCGCCGCACAACTAAATCTTACATTAAGTAATAGCGTTTGTTCTCCCCTCACCACCACCACCTCCTCCCTGATTTATGCATGTTCCGCACAGTTTAATTCAGTTAAGGATGTGTCTGCCCTGTTCCCAGGCGGTTATTACAAGAGGAGAGGGCTGTAAAGACGGACGGCAGGCAGCAGGCAGGAAGGTGGGGCTGGAGCAGGGCTGGAGTGGTTTAGTAGGCTTCTCCATTGATTCTGACGACAGGTTTCATAAAGCCTGGCTGTACCGTGCGCTCCCTAATGTGACCCACATAATGGTGGTGCCCAGGGAACAGACAGAGAATAAAAATGGAAATGACAATCTGAAAAGAAAAGGAGGAGAGGTGGAGGGAGAAAGAGAGAACAAAAGAGAGTGAGAAAGGGAAATAGATGGAGATTGAGAGAAATAATAAAAAAAGAGTGAAAGAACAGGAAGGAGTGGTGAGAGGAGGAAGAATGGCTGAGACAAGAGAGGCTGCGGTACATGGGGAGATTAGATTCTGTTAATGATGGGCAGCCCTCAAAGAAAATAACCACCACATCTCTCCTCTGTTCTCTCCTCCGCTGTCCCTTGTTCTCCCTCCCTCTATCAGCAGGCAGGAATCCCTCCCTCCCGCTCCTCATTAAATCCCAGCCCCCAATCGGAACACAATGGCAGGATAGTAAAAGAGCTGTGGGTGTTTCAAATGCCAGCGCTGCTGCTGTTAAATGGCTGGGGGCGGCTCTGATCCTTACATTGGTGTTTCATAATGCTAGTTCCAAGGTCAAACTACCAACAGTGTCACTACAGCAGGTCTCCACACGCAGTCTAATACGCAGCCAATTTATCATCATTTTTCAGTCTACCTCACCAGTTTCTGCATTGTCACTGTGTGTGGTAGAGTAATTTGGGTTGTGTTAATGTAGTCTCACTCATTCACTCACTGTCTTGAACGTGTGCATGTGTGAGTGTGATAAAAACTGACCAGTTTGTTTTGGCTGTCGGTGATGTGTGTCTCCTCGTAGGACTCATCGTGTTTGGTCCAGCTGTAAGAGATGAGGAAGGAGATGATTGGCGGGTGGTAGGTGAACTCTGGCCGGGTCCATCGCACCACCAGGGCCGTGCGGTTCAGATGCTGCACCTTCATGTTGATGGGAGCACTGCTGCACACTGAGAGAGAGAGAGAGGAGGGAAAGAGAGAGAGAGAGAGAGAGAGAGAGAGAGAGAGAGAGAGAGAGAGGGTGGGAAAGAGAGGTATAGGGAGGGAGTAGGGGAGATGTGGGAGAGAAAAGAGAAGGAAAAAAGAAAGAGGTTCTTACACTGTGGTCCCACAACGATCTGTAATGTCAGACAAAGGACTGCCGGAGGATAGGAGAACCCACCACACACGCATGGACACACACATGTATGTATATTCGCCACACACACATACAGTCCATGTAGACACATGAGATCGATGAAAGTGACAAAGATGCAATGAACAGAGAGCGAGAGAGATGAGAGATGTGTGTGGATCTGTGCTATCTAGGCTTTGAGGTAGTTCTGTGACTTATGGAGCTGTTCCACCAGACAGCAGCATCCGTCTTAGGGCTAAAACAATACAGACTCATATATACGTGCCTCCAGGCCTTCCATCTAGGTTTTATATCTCCCTATTCCCTATATATATGCATGCCTCCATAAATCATACTGTGGGTCAGTTCAGAAGCAGTGTTGTTTCCTCATATGTCCACTAGATGTCTCTGTTTGACCAGAATGAGCAGAGTGCCGAGTCCTCAGCTCTGCAAGATGTTGCATGGCGTCAAATGCAGCCAGGCAGCTCCATGGCTCTGTAGTCTCCACAGCAGAGGGATTAATTCCTCAGCATGTCAGGAAGCTGAAAATATCACTTCAATAATCAAACCCTGTTTTATTCACAGGGAAATCTTCCAGAGATCTGCTTTATTTCTCTCAGAACTCCCTCACCTGAACAGACGTCATTCCACCCAGTGAAGACAGACAGACTAGACTAAAGAACCAAATGCTGTCTACATTTTTATCATCAGCTTTATTATTACTAATAGCCCAAGGATGAATACAACACACGGTCTAAACAAACAGCGTTGATATGTGTGAGTACACTCACTGTTATTGTGGAATGATAAAGCAGGCTCATACCTAAGAATAGCCTATTATGAGTTGTGTGTGACTAATTAATTAGTCATAAATAGTAGCAATGCGGTCATCCAATAATATCCTGATGAATAGCAGTTGTGGTTTGGCATTATCAAAGTGATTAGTCACTCCCCTCTACCCCTGTACTGCTGCCTGCCTGCCTGGCTGGCTTAGCCAATGGAACCTGTTCGACCTCCACACACACAGGGTGTCCTCTAGATAACACCTAGCTGGGGTGGGTCAGCCTGCACTGTCACTCTCAGAGAAAGTCTCTCAGACTCATGTGTGTGAGAGAGAGATAGAGAGAGATAGAGAAATAGAAAGACAAGAGAGAGAGGTGAGAGAGGTGAATAGGGGGCAGTAGGTAAGGTGGCATTGCTGTGATGAAAGGCATAAGAGGATCTCTCCTTCATCCCTCCCAGGCCCCATAGCCCCTCATGACTCCACTCTGATAGCAACAAGATCTCACTGTCTCACTTCAGTATTCAATGTTTGTCCAGAGGGGGGGATAAACATAAAAACTTGACGATTAAATGTAGGGATTAATTCCAACTGGTTAATGTAAGGGTTAAGGTTTGGGATAAGGTTAAGGTTAAAACGGAAAAAATACAAATGAGTACCTAGCACTGGGATTGAACCTGCGATCCTCAGAGATGTAGCTCGCGGTTCAAGCACTACCTCAATACCCATCCACAACACCCTAGCAAGCCGTGAGCCTACTAGATGGTCATAGGCGCTCACGTTGACCCTAGCATCTCTTGAAGTCCTGGGGACCTGGACAAACGTCTAATACTGCAGTGGATCTGGTGTGACCTGACTGCGGATAGATGGGGGCTTGCAGCAATAGTACAGCAGAGTGCACAGACAGTTATTTCAGAGCACCTACATTTGAAATTTGTGATAATTACTAAGATATTGGGCTCTCCAGAACCAGGTAATGTTTCCTGATTTCCTTTTTTCATTAGCAGCCATTCTACAGGATCCAGGTGACAGAATATAATAGCTCCTTGACCAGAGACTTCTAAGTAGTCACTCAGTCCTTCACTGTAGCAGTTCATAGCATACCATTCCCCTTTGTGTTTCAAGGGCAGAGGGGATGGAGTAACGGACTTCCGACACACACAAATGCATGTACACACACACACACACACACACACACACACACACACACACACACACACACACACACACACACACACACACACACACACACACACACACACACACACACACACACACACACACACAGAGGAAAGGTAGTGATGGCAAGGGGGACATCATTCTTTCATACTGGCCACCAAAGAGGAGAGGATGTCTCTTAAGAGATGTGAGAGGCAGTTTAAAGGCGGAAGGTGATCTGTGGCCATGTGGTTATCTGACCATGCTGGTAGATGAATGGCTAATATGAAGGAGTGAGAGTACGGTGAGAGAGCCAGCTACCTTTCTGGAACTTCAAAGAGCTTACTTCAGGATGTATGTCACACAACTAAATACTCAGAACATTCCTGTGGGGTCAGAACTGTGTAATAGCTACAGGTAACTGCCAAAATAAAGGAAACACGTCGGTAAATGAGGGATACAAAGTATATTGAAAGCAGGTGCTTCCACACAGGTGGGGTTCCTGAGTTTATTAAGCAATTAACATCCCATCATGCTCATGTATATAAAAGCCCAGTTGCCCATTACATGGGCTACCATGGCTAGAAGAAGAGATCTCAGTTACTTTGAAAGAGGGGTCTCAAAGCAGCATAGGGGTTTTAAAGGGTGTGTGTATGTGTGAGTGTGTGTGTTTGTGTGTGTGTGTGTGTGTGTTTGTTTGTGGGTGTGTGTGTGTGGGTGTATGGGTGTGTGTGTCTCAGTCACCAGATCTCAACCCAATTTAACACTTATGGGAGATTCTGGAGCGGTGCCTGAGACAGTGTTTTCCACCACCATCAACAAACACCAAGTGATGGAATTTCTCGTGAAAGAATGGTGTCTCATCCCTCCATTAGATACAGACACTTGTAGAATACATACCAAGGCACACTGAAGCTGTTCAAAAACTATTACGTCAGCTGACCTACGTTAAACCATGGCTTGCCATCCCTTCCCTTGTCGTCTCTTAAAATCCTAACTACTGTGGGGGGGGGGGGGAATAGATCCAACAGACCCTCCATCCCCTTCTAAACCCACTCCAAACCCTTGTGTTTTTGGAACTGATCAGTTAATTCACCCCGGCTAAAGCCATGGGAGCTCATTTCACCCCTTAGGCTTCAATTCCATGCCTCTATTGTTGGAAGGAATGACAGCCATCACACTCTCCATCCCAATTATCATCTACCCCTCCATCCCTCCATCCCATCACTCTCCGGGTGACAGCTCGCTGTGCCGCCAATCAATTTTCCATGCCCATAAATGGGGAAAAATAATTGTTTGATGGATGGATGGAAATCTCCTAAGCTTTTTGTCTGTGGATTAGTGAGTTACTTCAGAGCACCTAAATTAATTCTAATTGCGATCATTACAGAGATATTGGGCTCTCCAGGACCTGGTAATGTTTCTTGATTTCCCTTTTTCATTAGCAGCCATTCTACAGGCTAGTAGGTGACAGAATAGAATAGCTCCTTGACCAGAGACTTCTAAGTAGTCACTCAGTCCTTTTTTTTTTTTTTTTTTTTTTTTGTGTCATTTAGCAGACACTCTTCTCCAGAGCGACTTACATGAGCAATTAGGGTTAAGTGCCTTGCTCAAGGGCACATCGACAGATTTTTCACCTAGTCGGCTCGGGGATTAGAACCAGCGACCTTTCGGTTACTGGCACAACGCTCTTAACCACTAAGCTACCTGCCTTCACTGTAGCAGTTCATAGCATACCGTGGTCCTCTATAGCTCAGTTGGTAGAGCATGGCGCTTGTAACGCCAGGGTAGTGGGTTCGATCCCCGGGACCACCCATATGTAAAAATGGATAAAAGCGTCTGCTAAATGGCATATTATTATTATACCATTCCCCTTTGTGTTTCAAGGGCAGAGGGAATGGAGTAAAGGACTTCCGACACAAACACACGCATGTACACACACACACCACGCACACACGCACGCATGCACGCACACTCTCTCACACACACACACACACACACACACGCACACCTGCACTTAAAAACATAGAGCACAATTTTCAGGCTGATCGCGTTCACAGTGGTGAGTGGCACACGGGTCCGGCAACACATTGAGCTGGAGGTAGAGAAAGGCTGCAGTCTGTTCTTGATTTGATGGAATTGTGTCATTTGTCAGCTGTGACACAATGAGCTATGAGGAAGAGTGCTGGATTGGAACGTTCCCTTTCTACTAGGCTACTCATCTTGGGGAAGCATGATGCTATCACATTGTGATTGTGCTTTCCTTGTGTAGTACAGTTTTGGAAGCACTGAAGTGCACACATACACGCACGCACGCACGCACGCACGCACACACACACACACACACACACACACACACACACACACACACACACACACACACACACACACACACACACACACACACACACACACACACACACACACACACACACACACACACACACACACACACACACACACACACACACACACACACACACACACACACACACACACACACACACAAAAGCAGCAGGGGCTGTGCAGTGGAGTGAATAGGTGGCAGGTCCCTCTACAGGCACACCGTTATTCTGTCTGCAACCAGAATGGTGTGGTCATGCAGTTCAGACAGGTGCTAGCTCACTGTGTGAGAGGGTCGCAGGAGACGTGAAGCATGTAACCACACTCCATGTTGTGTAGGGAGACATGTTGTACTGGAACCAGTAATGAGCCAGTAAAAGACTGGCCACTCGTGGGCCTCCCAGTACCGTATGGTAGGGGAGCAACACTCCTCGTTTGTCCCAAACCAACAGAGAAAATTCCAGAATGGCAGAGTCAGGATATGTTGGATTGTACCTTAGGGATTCTGAGGCATTCACATTTTGGTATGAGCAAGCGTTCACTGGAGAGCAACAATGTGCTGTGCTCCAATCTTTGAATACAATTTTACTCAAAAGTCTCCTTAAATGTCTAAAAACTAACAATTCTATGCTATTCACCTTGGTGTTACTTTGAATAAGAAGCATGTGGATTGGACTGTAACCAGGATGGGCAGTATCAAATCATGTGTGTGGTCCTGCCTTACCTTTGGATGCCTCTGTTCCGTACGGGTTGCCCAGGCTGTCTGTCAGGTCAGGTAGCCAGGCGTCTCTGACTGCGGACTTGAAGACATCACGGTTGTCAAGGCTCTGGATTGGCCGGAAGTTGCTCCTCAGGTATTCCACAGACTTCACATGGTCCTGCTGCTCTGTGGTGAAGATGGAGTAGAACGCCTCCAGCTAAAAGAGATAGAGAAAGAGAGAGGTAGAGAACGAAAAAGAGAAAAAGAGAGAAAGAGAGAGAGAGGAAGAGAGAGGCAGAAGGAAAAACACACACATTAAGGAGGAGAGAAATTACCATAATACATTCTGAGGATATTGAAACCTCTGACATCATTTCAACTGGAAAATTGGATTCATGATCTGATTTGTTTTGTTCATGGCATCTTTCAAGCAGCCAATGCACAGTGAGATCCTATTTTCCTTTGCCCATACATGTGTAATGTTGTAATCTTGTTCCTAGCTGAGAGTCTGAGGCGTGCAGGGCCAAGCTAGCACAGCCTAATCAGGGGAATAGTGTTCATGAAGCAAACAGAAAAACATGACCAGCTGTCCCCCTCCTGTCCTCTCCTCTCCTCAGCTCAGAAAAGAACAACCACAACCACAGAATAACCATTATCTGACCAGGAGCAGGGTTCCAGGAAAATCATAATAATCTGCCGAGCGGTTTAAGAGCTGCAGTTTAAGATGATGAGTGCAAAGTCTGTCTGTCAACATCATGATGACACGCTGATGGCTAAAGAAACAACGTGAGCTGAGACTGCTCATGTGAAAAACACACAGTCGATTTAGAGTGAAAACAGGCGGAGAGAGAAAGAGAGATGTAGGGAGGGAGGGTCTCATTTCCTCAGTGTGTGATTTGGTCAGGGAGTGGGAGTGAGGTTGTGGGATAAACAAGCAGTCGGTATGGTTACAGAGAGAGAGTTGGAACACTTCCCTGTCTGCTCGGCTCTGTGTGTGTTTACTAAGCAGACTGAGACTGGAGGCCTGGGGAATACTCAGCTCAATGACTACCCCCTACAGTGGGTGTGGAGGGTGTGTATGTGTGTGCACCACAGATCTCTCTCATCTGTCAGTATAGAGAAGATGTATTCCAGCAGAATAATAACGTACCTTCCCTTCTTTGGTAGGCCACCTGTGATGTCCCGTAGGCTGAGACCTTCTATAGGCTGCATTAGCATCATGGCTGATCTGCTAAACATCAGTAGCCTCCAGCCCTGGCACAGACCACACAGGCTCAAGCCAGGCCGTGTCGAAGCAATACGCTGCTCTCCACCAAATCTCTTAATCAGACTAGAATCTGCTAATCCCTAATATGGCATCACCCTCCTGAAAAAGCAGCTTATTGGGGTTGAAATCTCTTCCAGGCCTGCCAGAGGATTTCTGTCTTTGTGTGGAAACCACAGTGCGATTGGAGACTAATCCTTCCAGGAGTGACGGCGCACACACTCACGCAAACACGCCATGACACATGCGCGAACACACACACACTTCTGTGACTAGTGAGAAAGGCATCTGTGATGGGGAGAGCAGAGGGTTAAGTGGCCCGGCGTGGCACACACACACACACACACACACACACACACACACACACACACACACACACACACACACACACACACACACACACACACACCACACACACACACACACAACACACACACACACACACACACACACACACACACACACACACACACACACACACACAGTCCAGATGTTACAAGTGGAAGCATTTTAGGCAGAGCTGTCACTATGGAATAGCTGAGCATCGATCTGCTTTAAAAGCCACCCTTAAGCTACATCTGTCATTTCCAATGACCTACTTCCACCACTGATCAAGAACAAAAGACTGAGATGGAGGGAGGGAGGGAGAGAGAGAGGGAGGGAGAGAGAGAGGAGGGAGGGAGGGAGGGAGGGAGGGAGGGAGGGAGGGAGGGAGGGAGGGAGAGACAGACAGGGGAGAGGGAGTGCACTGTGTCTTCTTTCCATGTTCTTTCATCTTGGACAATGATGTTTTCTTCAAACCTCAGGACAGGGAAGGTGGTAACAATAGACTTCAAAGCCAAGTTAAATAAAATAAAAAAGACTGACTAATGGGTCAGGGGTAAACATCTGGAGGATAGATGACAGGAACGGTAATGATAAGGGATCCCAGTGACAGGAAGGAAGGACGTGCTGCCTGGATGGATAGAGCCCCTGTAAGTCCTGTTTATCACCTCTCATGTGTCGATCATGGTAACTAGCTAGCCCGCCGTCTCTCAGGAAAGTCTAAAAAAAGACTTCTTATACCAGGAAAGTCTGTAGAGGTGCTGTGAAAAAACCCCCATTGTATATTCTATATATATGACAGAGTATTATTCATTGTTGACTGGATCTCAGGCAAAATCAAATAATCCAAAAGGTCATGCTCAGAGTTCCTCCATGCTGTTTTTCATCTTCTCTCCACTGCCTCTCCGCTCTCTTATAATTCAGAGGATGACAACAGACAAATCCCCTCTACTCTGCTATGAGACACCTGCTGTCCTCTGGTGAAGAAGCACCATGAGCTCCCATTAACACCCTATTGTAAAACATGTCTGCGATTTATCATTGTATTCAAGAGTAAAATAACATTTGCTAATTTTAAATGATCCTTTTACAGAATATTGTAATGTCCCCCATTAGAAAATGAACTCATTTGTACAGTAGGTTATAATAGTGAAACTTTAATTTTTTTGATTTTTGATTTTACCTTTATTTAACTAGGCAAGTCAGTTAAGAGCAAATTCTTATTTACAATGACGGCCTACACCGGACGACGCTGGGCCAATTGTGCGCCGCCCTATGGGACTCTCAATCACGGCCGGTTGTGATACAGCCTGGAATCTAACCAGGGGGTCTGTAGTGATGCCTCAAGCACTGAGATGCAGTGCCTTAGACCCATCTTCTTCTGGCTGTGTGTGTGAAGACCCGTTTATTCTAGCTGTATGCATACAGTGAATGTATTGCTGGTTTTATATAGGATTGAAGTGTATGTGGTAGTCTTATTGCTAGCCGTACTGTGCACGCAGCTGCTGTGACTGCCCACCTTTATGCTAGCTATTAAGGGTGCATAGACCTATGTACTAGTGTGGTATTTTGCATTCAGCAGTAGGATATGCTGTTGCTTATGGGTAATTTATCTTCAGCTGAGCTCTATGTAGCAGCCAGTATGTTATCTAGCCAGACAGTATGTAAGGGGAATGTGAAGCTGACTAACGGTGAGCTAGTGGTATTCAAGTGGTTATAAAGCTTTATGTATGAATGACCTATCTCTCTGTGGGCCCAGAGCCAGGCAGCGCCTCTCCTCCACAGCTTCAGAGCTGTCTGGGCCTTGACTAAGCTCTGGCAGATAAACATGGTCTGCCACCGAGCACGCTCACAGGGGGCAACGCTCGGCCACCCCTCAACACCACAGCCCACACATTCCCTCTCTCACAGTCCTTTTCCTCCTCTTCCTCTCCTTCTTTCTCTCTTTACCTCTCCATCTCTCGCTCTTTTTCTCTCCTCTCTTCTTTCTCCCTATCTCTCTTTCTCTCTTCCTCTCCTGCTGTGTCCCCTTATATGAAGCCAATACTTCGTCCACATTTGGCTTCTTCTAACTCATTTGGCCTCATTAGAATGTAAGTTGGACAAATGTTCCTGGACTGTTGGGGAGGAGAGAAGGACCCAGCGAGGCCAGAAACTGCACCATCACATTACTAACCATGTCTGTCTCAACCCAGTCACAAATGCAAACATCACACATTAGGTATGTGAGCAAATTAAAGCTCCTGGAAGAAGGAGGCCATTAGTCAAAGGAAAGAAGTCAGTGTGTGTGTGTGTGTGTGTGTGTGTGTGTGTGTGTGTGTGTGTGTGTGTGTGTGTGTGAGAGAGAACGAGAGCGAGAGAGAGATAAAGTGACTCACCTGTTTGTAGGAGACGAACACAGGTCTGTTGAAGACGATCCACTCAACCACCTTGCTGCAGGGTGGGGTTGTGAGAGAGCCTGTGTAGCGGTAGTAACTCCCCAACGATGATGGCAACAGGTCCCTCAGAACAAAAGGCTCCAGGAAGGTTTCTTTCTCTGGGGGAGAACAAGCACAGTGACACAAGGAAACAGTATTGACCATTCAGTCACAGCCACATACAGTCACTATCTCTATACTACAATGCTTGGGAATTAGAAAATATCCTTATTGATTGGCGTAAACAGGGTCATGGGGATTTTTTTTCTCTTTGTCACTGAATCATTGAGTATAGGTATAACCAGTGGTGTAGTGGTGCCTGGAGAAGTGGGTATACTCTAATTTTGCCTGGAGAAGTGGGTATACTCTAATTTTGCCTGGAGAAGTGGGTATACTCTAATTTTGCCAAGAAATGTCCAAATGGCCCGCCCGGCGAAGGAAAGGCGCCCTGTGTGAAAAGTTCTATGAAAAACAGTGACATACACTCTGAATGAGTCAGAAATTCAAAGGTTTCAGATTTTCCCCCATTTTTTCAGGTTTTTGCTCTCACAGTTTTTTTTTACAGAAGAAAATCACAATTGTATATTCTAAGTCCATAACAATGCTTGAACAACATCAGGAGACCACTTTTGAAGAAATTTGATTTTTGAGTGTAGTTGTCCTTTAATTCAAGTGTGCAGGCACTTTTGTTTGGTTAGTGGTGTTTCTGTTGCACATGAGATGGAGTACGCAAAAAAAAAAAGGACACTAGATTGATACAAATAATCATCATATCATTCTGACAGGTAGGCATAGGCTACTTTGTAGCTAGTTAACATTTAATAAAGGAGATTTTTGGGAAAGCCTTTCCATCTACCAGAAGACAGTTAGACCTATCATTAGCAGTGCTATATTTTTCCTGTTCCTTAATTATTTGACACCTGAACGTTTTACTTCATTATGTGATGCATGTCTTACCTAGCTTCAAAGTAGTAGCCTATAGCCAAAATCCCACCATAGAAACGTGGAGGCAATTATTTTTATAAAGACATACTCATTATGCGTTCTCCTGTTCAACTTTCTTTCATTGTCTAGCAGCCAAAGGCATAGTCATATTAGCAACACATTACAGTTGTTGCATCTTTAAATCCCACCTCTTTCTACATTTCTAACGGATATTTCCATCTCTGTCCATGAAACCACTCGTATGTGCGGTGCGCATTTTTAGAACGGTGTTTATTCCGCAATCGCGTGTTAGAACGTTCACGCGTAGGCTTCCGCCGTGTGCACATTGCTGCGCGTAAAATGTGGAGAAATAATAGTTTCAACATTTTAAGCTAAACATTCTGATCAGTTCCATCAGCCTTATTAATTGAGATGGCGTATACCTCCACCACACTACTTTGATACACATCAGTGGGGATTAAGAAGTGAGTGTACGAAATGCCCACTGAAAAATAAGTGGGCATACTGCGTATACCTGCGTATACCCTCCACTACACCACTGGGTATACGCAATGCTGACTGAAAAATAAGTAGGTATACGCCGTATACCAGCGTATACCCTGGACTACACCTCTGGGTATAACCCTCTAGTACTGATGCAAGTAGTCTAGTTTGGCTGCCATGAGGATTATTCAACCAGGCCTGAGTCAGAGCTGGTGTGTGTAACCACTGGATCTGGCCCCAGTGTCCCAGGCTACATCAGAACCCAATGGACGACTCAAGCTTGACACAAATACTTCTCTTATAGCTGATCAATCCCACTGAGGACAAAACCGGCCCATTTCCTTCCAAAATCCTGTTGTGATGGCAATGCTTATCAGTCAAAGACAACAATGGCATCCACACTTTGCTCAGGATAGTGATAAAGAGAGAGGGGCCAAACCTCTTGTGCCATAACTTTTCATGACCAACAATGAGGAGTCCCCCCCCCCCCCCCCCTCCAAATAGAGATAACAATGTAAATAACCTCCAAACATGTGGCGAGGAAACAAAACAAAATGACTGTATGAATCCTCCTGCCCCACATTTTCAATACATAACTAAACTGGGAATCCTATTGGGCAGGGATGAAAAAGGGGCTTAGCGTGCTAGCAATGCGCCACGGAGCCGCATCAGATTGGATGTGAATGGGAGAGCTGGGGGATTAAAGCCACTGCTGGAGAATAGAGGACAGATAGAAGCAGGCACAGTGGCAAGGAAGGCACTATACTACTGCTACTACCACAGCTGTACCACTAGCTAGCCTCACATAATGTACTGTAGTCTACTGTATGGTAAGCTATTTCAGCCTTTATAAATTCATTTCCAATCAGGGTTGGAGAGTGCCTAGTCAGTGGAGACTTCAAAGCCACTTTGAGACGCTGAATTAATGGACTTGTAATGCCAGTGAGGAGCGGGGAGTTAATTTCAGCACTGTCACAGGAGACCACTGAGAAAGAACGGTTCACTGAGCAAACAATGACTGACACTGAGCTAACACTGGGCCATGTACATATACTGTACATACAGTATATGCAAGAGAATACAATGACGTACAGGGTTGGGGGAGTACAGTATGTCACCCCATCAGCCCCGCTCTCCTTTACCTCCTTCATATCCAGCATCAAGACACCACTGTCTCATACAGCTGAGACGTATTTATTAGTAGATCAACTTGAATCACTCCTAAATCTTCATATTATGCCCCAGTACCTTTTCACAGCTCAAATCCCCCACGTCATCAGACAGAAAAAAGGCTGTGGCTCACTGCATATTTACAATGTACCCTATGATTTGCATGCGTAGATGGGCAACCACTGTACTGAGTGTACAGTTTCTTTCAGTCTTCTGCACTCTTCTCGTGCTTATTCAAATAGGAAATGAATGAACAAAGGATTTACATTGTTCTATTAAGATTAAAGCCAGACAACGCCTTGTGGGTTTTTAATGTACATGCATGTGTTGACTGGCCCCAGCTTAAATCCACTCGCAACATCTGTCTCCTGCACAAGAGATATCTGAGCTGTAAACTACACACAGACACACACACACACACACATGCATGATCTCACGCAAGCACACACACACAGATACTCAGAACTGTGTCTGTAAGCACTTGGTGTTTCCTGATTTGTGTCCCGAGGACGTGTCTTTGCGCCTAGATTCTGTACCTGCCCTTGCCGTATAATTAAATATTAAGACTAAGTAACGAAGGAACCTAATGGATGATTACCGTACTTGAGCAGACAGATTTCCTGTTCCACAGGCCCGTGTGCTTAAAATACCAGCAGAATGAGCTCCGTCGCCGCGACGCTAATATTACAATTAAAAGGCCTTCCTTTGAGACACAGGAAACACACAGAGCCATTGAAAACAGAAGATGGCTTCACAACGTTCTCACAGCACTTCTTATTTTCTTCAAACAAGTGTTTGTTAGTGTGTCTACCTGTGGATGGATCCCAGGGAATGGGATAGGATGTGTTGCAGTGTTTCCCTTAGGATTTTTTTCAGCAGCGGTGGCAGGGGGTGGGGGGGGGGATTGTTGAAAGACTATGAGAAGGGTTGGGGGGGTGTTGTTGAACGGCTGTGAGAAGGTCACTTCTGGGGACTTTTTTTAAAGGACATTCTAACATAAATGGCTGAAAATTAAATGATGTTCTCTTCCTTTGTTTAATTTTATCTCTTGAACTCAATGACATCACCAGACAATTCTATACTAACCCCAAAAATTATTTAGCTAGCGTAACATTACCGTATCTTAGCTAACAATCATTACATACATCTATTAATAGGGTTGGCTCATAGAGATAGTTAGAGGACGCAACATTGTATCTGTCCCATTATGGCGTCTGTGAGCATGGGCAGTGCTATTGAGGCCATCTCCATTTTGAAGTAGTCCATTTTCTTCTTCGACTACTTATACGAGTTGGTAAACAAACTGAAAGGGTGCATACTGCCACCTGGAGTGTTGTTTGAACAGGTATAAAGCCAAAGTTGGGGATTTACTGCCACCTGCAGTTATGGGATGTTTGCTCAAGAGTATAATGCATTGGCTGATCCCGCCTGATGACCTTGATGGAATTATGTGATCCTTCCTTAACCCAACACAATGCCACAGATGTCTCAAGGTTTGAGGGAGTGTGCAATTTGCATGCTGACTGCAGTAATGTCCACCAGGGCTGTTGCCAGAGAATTGTATGTTAATTTCTCTACCATAAGCCGCCTCCAATGTCGTTTTAGAGAATTTAGCAGTACGTCCAACCGGCCTCACAACCGCAGACCACATGTAACCACGCCAGCCAAGGACCTCCACATCCGGCTTCTTCACCTGCAGGATAATCTAAGACCAGCCAGCCGGACAGCTGATGAAACTGTGGGTTTGCACAACCAAATAATTTCTGCACAATCTGTCAGAAACCGTCTCAGTGAAGCTCATCTGCGTGCTCGTCGTCCTCACCAGGGTCTTGACCTGACTGCAGTTCGGAGTCGTAACCGATTTCAGTGGGCAAATGCTCACCTTTGATGGCCACTGGCATCAATTGCATTTTATCGATGGCAATTTAAAAGCACAGAGACACCGTGACGAGATCCTGAGGCCCATTGTTGTGCCATCCATCCGCTGCCATCACCTCATGTTTCAGCATGATAATGCACGGCCCAATGTCACAAGGATCTGTACACAATTCCTGGAGCTGAAAATGGTCCAGTTCTTCCATGGCCTGCATATTCGTTAGACATGTCACCCATTGATCATGTTTGGGATGCTCTGGATCGACATGTACGAAAGCGTGTTCCAGTTCCCGCCAATATCCAGCAACTTCACACAGCCATTGAAGACAAGAGGAACAACATTCCACAGGCCACAATCAACAGCCTGTTCAACTCTATGCGAAGGAGATGTGTCGCACTGCATGACGCAAATGGTGGTCACGCCAGATATTGACTTATTTTCTGATCCACGCCCCTACCTTTTTTTAAAGGTATCTGTGACCAACAGATACATATCTGTATTCCCAGTCATGTGAAATCCATAGATTAGGGCCTAATTTATTTATTTCAATTGACTGATTTCCTTATATGAACTGTAACTCAGTAAAATCTTAGAAGTTGTTGCATGTAGCATTTTTTTTATTTTTGTTCAGTGTAGTTACCGTGAAGGTTTCTGGAACGATCTGATGAGAATCTGAGGAAGATATGTCACTTGTTGTAACTTGTCACTGTGATCTTAAAAGCACGTCTCGGCAGAATAAAAAATAAATGAATATAGGGTAAACACTGTGTTGGAAGGAATAATTGTGTAGAACTTTGCATGTGTTTTGCTATTAGTTTGCTGGAAGTTTGTGTGTGAGTTTGTGAGTATGTGTGTGTATGAGAATGCTTAATTCAAATCCATAAATCTTGAGAGTCTCCCTCCCTCTTACTCCCTCCTCTCCCTCCCTCCGTGTCTGTCCCCTCCCCGTGTGGCGGCAACAGAGCTGAAAATACATCTCTCCATTCACAACTGGGAGACAGCAAGAGACAGGCCTGTCAGCGGGGGAGGAAAGTGGGAGATGAGGAAGGCGGGGGACCCCACGGTCATATCTGTCTCTGATAAAGACAGTGCATATCTCACCCCCCGTCACGCTGCCTGGCCCTGGGCACGCCACAGCCTGCCTCCTCTCTCCCAGCCTTAGCTCTTCCTCCCTCTCCTCTCCCGTCACATTCTCTCCCTCCCTCCTTTTTTTCCTCTCCCAGCACACTCCCTTCTTTCCTCTTCTCTCCATTCACACTTCCTCCCCTTCTCCTCTCCTGTCATATCTCCTGCCTCAGAGTCCCTCCTCCTTTATACTGCCATCATCACACTCCCTCTCTCCTGTCCTCTCTCCCATTCCCTCCCGTTTCCCATTTCCCATCACACTCACTCTCTCCTCCTCTCTAGTCCCATCATCTCTCCACCCTCTCACCACAGGACACCGCCAGAGCCCTCAGTAATAACAAATGGCATCAAAGACAGGAAGACAATGGGACTATCATTGTGACTGTCATGGTGACTGTCATTGTGAAATTAATGGGGAGGATAATTATGATATTGAAGATGATGCCTTTCACTGGTTACACTAAACATAATGTGACGACGAAGATTGTATCATCATCATTATTGTTATCACCATCATCATCATCATCATGCAATATAATTCTGCATTTTTTTACGATATATAGTTCTGTCTGTATGACACGTTCTTAATGTATCAGTAGTTCAAAGTTACACAGCCCTTCTACATCAGTGAGAGCTCACTGAATCAAAGACCAGAGCAGTCTTTATCTTAGCCTGTCGAGTGCCTTAAGCCTTCACCCTTATAACACAATTCTTGTCAGATTTAGCAGCTTTATCTCATATCAGAGTTCAAACAATTACCCAACTATAATCACTACACCAGGGACACACCCATTTCCCTCTGGTCTTATTCAGACAAGGCTTGAATTGTCTCTGGCAGATCTGCTAAAAATGGTGGGCAGAACCAATATTAATATTCCTAATAGTTTATTTTGTCTGTCGGGACTCCTGGGGGCAACCTGGGGTATGTTTGATATAATTAGGCAGTTGCAAAAAAAAAAATTTGACTACCCAATGACTGAAACACGAATTAAAAGAGGCTGAGATATTACAGTGTTACATGCAACCTTGCAAAAATAATGTTGTGATCCTCAATGAACAAATGTTGTTGGTCAATGACTGGTCAATTCATAGTCCCTCCTGGAATGATTGGGTGATGGAAGTGTCACTCACCATGATGGACCACGCCCCTCAGGCCGTGGATAATGGGGTCCACTGCTGGGTTGTCCTTCAGTCCCACCTGAGAACAGGAGAGGAGAGAGGAGCAGGAGACACACATTAGAGCCTGGGGAATATCTAATACATTGAAGTCTAACATCGATTCAACCCCCTGTGATACTTTCACCCAACAAAGAGAGAAAACAGTAGTTAGAAAAAGAGAGGGGAGGGCAGAGAGAGAGAGAGAGAGAGGAGAGAGAGAGAGAGAGAGAGAGAGAGAGAGAGAGAGAGAGAGAGAGAGAGAGAGAGAGAGAGAGAGAGAGAAAGAGAGAGAATAGAGAGAGAGAGAGAGAGAGAGAGAGGGGGGGGGTAGAGAGAAATACAATTTATTGTAGAGTGAGTACAATCTCATATGGTGAGAACAATCAAAGTCAATCAGAGGTCTGTTTGACCTGAGCAGGAGGAGCAATACACATGACGTCAATAGACTCTATAACTATGTAGGTCATCCAGCTAGCCAAACAGGCACTCAGAATATGTTTTTAAAACACAGCTGAAATGGGGTGACAGATAGTCCATGTCCGTGAGCAGCAGAGCAGCAGGTAAAGTAGGGAGAAAAACACTGTGATTAGCACCACTGAGAGATGGAGGAAGATGCAAAAATACACTCCATTACCCTACGTCATTATTTCATCTCACAGAAAGGTTGAAAGGAGTGTTAAAAACAGGATCTTTTTCCTGGCACTCAGCAGGGGGAGACAAGGAAAGGAAGCCATCTTTGAGGATTGGGACAAAGCCCCACACTGAGATTCAACACACTTCAATGGTGTCCTTTTCTTTTCTCCCCATGTGGAGAGACTAGGAAGACCCCTACTGCAGGACATCATTGTGAAGAGCATAAGAGACTAACCTAACAGTTACAGGTGAAACCTTCCCTGCTACCTTCCTTCCTTCCTAACCCTCCCATGGCACTCCTTTGTTCTTCAGTGACCCACTAAGTCCATGGTCTTCATTTTTCAACCGTGCGTACATTTCGGAGTAAATTCTGGCGTACGTGGATTTGCTTGCTCAACAAATTATTGGGATTTATCAAACTGTTGCACACAACATATATGCATGTTTTCATTGATAAATCAGAGCCATACTATATTTGTGCGCTTGTGAGCGAGCCCTACACCATCCATTCACCTTTTATGGTAACAAAAACGCCCTCATTTGCTGTATGATTTGTAATTGTTGGAACGGGGCCATGACAAGTTTCTAGAAGAAAGCACATTGGCCAATTTGATCACATTTATGTAGAGGTGTGGGCAGAATGTTTGAATCTTTTGCTGTGACTTTTTCAAACAAAACATGCATTCTGAAAGTTTGATTGTCTATTTTAACAATTTAAAAGTAAATGCTACGGCACACTTCTATGGAAAATATGAATTGTTGTTCAATATTTTGTTTTTTCAATAGATTTTGTTTTTATCTCCTACCTTGGTATAGGCTCTGAGTTTAAATAGGCTATGATGTTGCGATTCTATCACACAGCAATACTGTAGCCTACCTATACTGGCATATATTTTAAATTGGCTACCGGTCTATTTACTTTCAAGCATGTTTGGCTATTAAATCTGTGATGGATAAAGGTAGGCTAATAATTGTTGTGTAGTGGGAATAAACCAGTCATGTCAGAAAAGCAGAGACGTTCTGCAATATGATCATGATTTAGGCCTATATAATACAAGTAAAAGAAACACATGCTGCCATGTGGACTCCTCACCAACAGCAAATGCATCTGTTTTATCAGTAGGCATACGTTATAATGTTTTTATTAACCTACCATTATAATTCCCTTCAAAATAACAATATTTGCTTGGAATACAATTGATCAACCACTAGAAGTTGTGCATACGCATGGTCTGAGATTTGCGTGAAGATACGCACCCTTTACCATCAAGTTCAAAATGGATAAATACCAACCTTTGCGGGAAAAATGGTGCACGCAAGGTTTAGAGTCTTTTTTGTACCCACACACTTTTGATAAATGAGGCCCCAGGTCTCAGCCACCTCCGTTAACTCCCACTCTGATGTGTCGTCACCTCCCACTATCTTCCTCTGTTCCTCTGTTCCCACCCACCGTGTGAGGCATCGTACATCTACCACAATCCTTTGAGTTCTCTCCCACTGCCCCTTTATTCTTTAAAAAATCATGTTTTTGGCAGATGGCAAACCACAGAGAGCTCTGAATGACTGTAGCAGTACTGAAGTTTTATTTAAGCAGAGCCATGCGCCAAATCAGCCTACCTAAAACAGCCCTCTGCCAAGAGTGACAGAGAGAGGGAGAGAGATGGCTTCAAAGATAGACTGGGGGGAAGGAGAAAAAGAGATAGGGAGGGAGGCAGAGAGAGAAAGATGGGACCATGGGAATTATATTTTAATTATCAATAATTGTCTGTTAAAGGCTGCAACTCTGTCCCCTGGGAACCTTCTCCATGGGGTTACATGCTATGTCTGTCTCTACATGGCCAGTACCACAGCATAGTCCCTCTCCTCTCCTCTCCCCATGCAGGCAGCCTGACTCAGGCAAACCACACCACAGAGACACGGCAGAAAGACCAGGCCAGAGCCACATGACATCTCATCTCGCTATCATCCATCCAACAGCCCTGATTCTTTCTCTCCAACATTTTCATCTATCCAAAAGGCCTCTCTACTCTCTCTGTCTCTCCATACTCTCACATAAAACATTGACGTGAAGAATAAAAGACTACTGTAAATGAGGCAACTGTACCTTTAAGAGACTCTTAGCTCATTGCACCATACGTCTTTAATTGTAGTGCAGGTGAATCATAGGTCGGTGGTGTTCGACAAACGAGGATGTCTCTGCAGTGTCAGAGAGCTAGAGAAACACATGCATTTCCCTTCTCAATGACATGAGTGCTAAAGAATAGCTGTGTCGCTTTCTTGCAAGTGTGCTTATGACTTTTGGACCTTTATTATATGTATTCCCACGTAAAAATAGCACCTATGATCAATTAACAGGGAAAAGTCACACCTAATGAAGTAACAGAAACATATTTTGCGGCGTTATCAACTTAAAGTGCTCCATCTATTTTCTGAGGATGGTGACATCAGTGGCAGTCGATTCTTTAAGCTGAGGAATGTCCCGCTGTAACCAGGGCGACTGGTGACAGAGAGAGGAAGCAGAGACAAAGTGTCTAGGCCGTCCCGCTTCATCAACAACAACTCTGGCTGGAGCGCCAAAACATCATATAACAGTACACTACTACAGCACCAGGCCTTGCCTCCTCCTCAATTTACTGCTTAACAAATGGCTTAAACCAACTAGAACACATTTTTATGAATTCTGTTTCTCTGTTAAAAGCTGGAGCTCATTTCTCATCCAGTAGCAAGTACTCTGCTGAATTGGAAGCAGCACTGTGGCATTAGCACAGTTGGCATTCACAGTGTAATTTGGAGGTAATTGATTCAGGCAGGAATGGAGAGTCACCTAAATGAAAGACAAAACACTCCTCCATCACCTATAAGACACTGCTTCTCCTTAATGTACTGTACACTTTGGCTGAGTTAATCAGAAGTAGACTTCCTGTTACAATAGTAATGCTTGCTCCAGTAAGTATTACACCTCTGTGAGCGATGCTGGGCCTGGGTCTGCTCTGCTCACACGTGTGTATCTCAATGAGCGTATGGTGGATCTCTGAGCATGTAGACTGTAAATAAGCCAATAAAACTGTAATGATAGATGTTACTACCACAATCTATTTCAATCAGGGGGCCGGCGCAGCGCGAGGGTGGGCTGTAAAAGTAATGAGAGCCGCTGCCCTGAGAGCTCACGTGGGCCGATAGGGACAATTTTGCCTGTATAGCAACAGACATCATTTAATTAATACGTGCTACAGTTAGAGGAGTGCAATCTAATCACAATACACACACACACAAACACGCTGACTGAGACACACACACACACTCTCTGACAGAGATGTATACACACACATACACAGGCAGAGATGTCCACACACACACGAACACTCCTTGAAGGGGGTCACTTGATTGATAAATGGCTTTAGTTATTAGAGCTGGGACGATAAACCGAAAATGACCGACAACTTTCTAACTCATACCGAAAACAATTTTGCATATGTCGGTAATTTTTGGTGATTACACAATGTTCGTGCATTAAACAGCAGCCTACGGAGCTGCGTGGCATATAAGAAAGCAAAACAGCATAGAAAAAAACATTACGCTCCTGGAGCTCAACACTTCCATCTATGCCGTTTCATTTGAACCAAAACTACAGCAGCCAATGAGAGCTGTGTTCTATCCCATGCTTCCTACACCTGTTGTTGGCAGTTCTTCCAAGTGATGTTGCGAGTAGCCTCGTTCAATATCATGCTGCAATCACCAAACACCAATATACTAATGGAGTTGAACTTGGTATGAAATATTATTACATTTAAAATCAAAAATAAATTCATAACGAAATGAATGTTAAAAATACATCTCTTTCTGTAGCAGCATAATATCATCTTATAAATCATATGCTGGGTCACCTGGTAACCAAACTTAGGCTAATATATTATGGCAATTTCTTTGACATGGTGTAAAAATGGCGCTAATGGAGTGTAACTGTGCACCTCCCCCCAAAATAATTTATCACAACAAAATGGGTCAATTTATCGCGATATGGATTTTTGTCCATATCGCCCAGTACTAGTAGTTATTGTGTGTATTGATTTGTTCTCTGTAAGCAGTGAGGTTGCTATTAGCTAGTAGTCTTTCCTGGTGTTGTGTGGATACGCAGCCTGGTGGGGTTGTGTAACTTGGTAGACAGAGGAGAGGAGCTTTAAGGTTATCACCATAGAGGGAAGCCTCACTTTTGAACAGGATACCTCATCACGATAACCACACCGAGGGATACATCCACTCTCCAGGCCTGCCAGATACTGGCTCTCTGACAATCAGTTTGGAGGCTCATTGTGTGTGTTTGTGTGAAAATAAGTCTGTCCATTTCTCTGTGCTCTGCATTCTACATTGCCCCCCCCCCCACGCACACACGTGCAGGTTACTGCTTGAGAGAGGAGAAAGTGTTTGAGTTAGAGGAGATCTAAGATTGAAAAATGCCATTATAAAAAGTACACCCACACATACTCATATTTGCATTAGAACAAACGCATAGATGGAATCTCTGGAGACCCATACATACAGTATGCATCTGCCTAGTTATTGAGGTCACAGCTTCACTTCAACCTCTGAGGGGGGGGGGGGGGGGGGGGGGGGGGGGGGAGAGGATGGAGAAACAGAGAGAGAAGAGCGGGAGTAAGAGAGAGGAGAGAGACAGGAGAGAAGCGAGAGAGACAAAGGGAGAGGTTGAGAGAGAGAGACGGAGAGCAAGAGAGAGCAAGGGAGAGGGGGAGAGCAGAAGACAGAATCATTGTAATTCAGTGAACGTAAAGAATGGCCAATCTGGACCCAAGAGGACTGGAGGACTATGCAAACGTGGGCGAGTGTGTATGTCTCTCGGTGTGTGTGTGTAAGGGAGTATTAAAGGAGAGGTAATGGACCAAGTAAAAGCCCACTTACGCAATCGATGGCATCAAATGAACTTTTAATCATGGCAATTCAGGGTGATGGAGTTGACCATGACCCTGCCCACTGCTAGCTCAACAGACCCACCCGGCAGCACACTCAGGCCAGCCAATTCTTATATCTCCACTTAAGACAATACAGCTCGATACAGTCACAGTCCCAGACAAACACAGTGCTCACTGCACACACTTAGACAACAAAAGGAACACACATTTTCCAAGCTTGTTGATGTTTTTCTTTCTCAGCGGTGATGGTAAAGCAGTAATGTCGTGTTTCAATTCTGGTATTGTGCATTGATTTAGACTGAGTCAGTGTGTTGTTCCATGCCCCGTATAGAGTGCTGTTAGGGTCTGACAAACAGAGTGAAAAACTAACAGACAACTAGTCAAAGCTCAAACCAAGTTTATTCATCCACTGAGTCAAACAGCTGCAAAGACAAAGACATGTTTACACAAGCACATATATTTATAGCCTCCTACTAGGCGGAGTCTCCTCCTTGCACATCTAGACAGCCAATACATCTCTGTTGCTAGGCAGGAACTTAGGTGGTGTGCGTGTAATAGAACTGTTCCTTGTCACTTCATCTGACCTGACCTCGGCCCACATTCCTCACTCCTCCCTAATCCACGGCTATCCAACCTTATCAGTGACTGAAACCAGACTGTTACCCTTTGGCCCTCTCCATAGGATCCATGAGATTTAACAATAACATTACACATGTAAAGTAGTTATATTATAGTAACATGAATAAGTATATATTTAAAGCTAGAATCCAACAGTGCTACAGGGTCATGTCAAACCCTATGTTTGAAAAGCCTAAAAGATGAGAGAGATGTTCTCACCTGAAAGAAGACCGACATCGCTGCAATGATCCTCTTCTGCCGTATGGCAGCACTGAGGCTGTCAAAGTCATCCGAGTTATACATGTAGATCTGCATCTGTGAGGGAGAGAGAATGGGACAAAGAGAGGGAGAGAGAATGGGACAAAGAGAGGGAGAGAGAATGGGACAAAGAGAGGGAGAGAGAATGGGACAAAGAGAGGGAGAGAGAATGTAAGTGTTAGGCATCCATCTGTGCAAACTTCCACCTCTCACAAGGAACAGCTTGGATCTCCAAATTGCATCATTTATGACCATGTTTGCAGAGCCATAAAAATGGGAGTGTGTTCTGCTCTCTTGACTTCTCTCTCTGTGGGGTTTCTTTGAATTCTTGAATTATACACAGGCCTGCTCTGTTTAGAGCCAGCATGATGTCATAAGGTCAAAGGTCATATATTGGTTCTAGAATTGTTTTCTCCCATAGAGCTGCATAAAGAAACACCCTGCATGGTCCTCAATATGTTGTCCACTCTGCTCTCAGAGACGGACACACTGATCCACACAGATCTACAGGACTAGTACTATAGCTTAAAAAGCCTGCTGTTAACACAATCAGCACAAACAGTCCAATCCAGACTGGATGGATGTACAGTTAGACTCAGGGAAGCTTGTTAGAGCCCCCTTTTTATCTCTCTCTCTTTCATAAACATATGCGGACATATAGCACAGGCAACATGGTCCATCAGACTGGTTGTCATGGTGATGTGTAGCAGGCAAAACTCACATGCACTCGCTCACACACACACAGACACATCCGGTGGGTGGGCTTAAGAATGTAGCATGTGTCCTACTCTGAGATACAGGGACTTTAACCAGGGCAGATAGATCCCTCTCCTAATGTGCTAAGGGAAAGATTAATCTGGTCAGTCTATGTCATGGAAAGAGCAGGTGTTCCTAATGTTTGTACACTCAGTGTATGTGTATCAGCCTGGCAAAAGGAAATATATTTCCTCCCTATTGTTTAAGATGAGAAGTTGAATGCAATACCTCAACAAAGCAAGACACATACAAGAACACACTCACACAAACACACACACACACACACACGGCAGGCCCACTGTATCTCCTGTCAAGGTGAAGCTCCATTCTTCTGGAGAGAGTGTGTATGTGTGTGTGTGTGTGTGTGTGTGTGTGTGTGTGTGTGTGTGTGTGTGTGTGTGTGTGTTTACATAAAAGCTGCAGAGAGAAATGCTGTAGGGGAGACCACATTCTGCGCCTACCAAAACCCATTTCCTGGCAACTTCTCATATGATCAATATTGTCAATATTATTCCAGTCGCATTTTCCACGCTTCTGTAATCCTTACACAAAGCAGTGTGCACAACCTCCTTTGATCTATTTGAGGCATTCTGTGGTCTCCTAATATAGATCCCATAGTAAAGCATGTGTTTATGAATTTAGAACAGAGCAAATGGAGCTCTACACACACACACACACACACACACACACACACACACACACACACACACACACACAGAGCGAGTTCTAGCTGAGTCAGTGGAGACATCCTTTCACAAAGTGAAAGCAGGTTGCATGGCAGGGTCTTACATAATATAGACTCTCCACATTGAGGGCAGCGTATCACTGGTCGCTTTCAGCCCAGAAGAGAAGTGGCAGGTGGGGACACTTTATCCATACTCATCTCAGACAAACAGAAAACCTTTACACACTGCACACAGAATACTAGAGCCCCTCAGCAATCAGGATGGACTATACTGTGCTGCATGTTTGACTGGAGCACTTTGTGCTGTGTTGTGGGTCACAGTGTGATTCACATGGCGATGTGTTGTGGGTCACAGTGTGATTCACATGGCGATGAGAGGTCCTGCAAGAGCTTGTTGAGTTGAATCAGGGCTAGAACAAAAGCCTCCTGTTATTCACCAGGACTAGCGCTGGTGACCATGGGTTTAGCAGCAGTATAGAGAGCAAGCGAGGACACAGGACACAGAGGACACAGTGTGACCAGGTACAGTGTGTCACCAGTATATCATCCCACTGAAGGACAGACCTGACACCCTATGGTCCCAGCCATGCCATGCTCTTTTCACTTCAATGACTGATGTCACCCGTGTCATCATTATGCAGTCCCAAGCTGCAGTTAAGTCAAGAAATATGGGGCGTATACACACACACACAGACATACACACACGCAAGCACACACACACACACACACACACACAATAAAACACAACACAAACAAAGGAACCAGGGGACTGGTTGTTGACATTCCTGAGTGAATGCAAACGTGTTGAAATGAAAGGTCTTTTCCCCTCCGAGTTCCCAGAAAAGCTTGGACATATATGCACAGGCTTATGGAGAGCAAGCAGCTTTGTATTAGGCCTGTCTTCTGTTCACATGAGTGTGTGTGTGTGTGTGAGTGAGAGTGAGAGTGAGAGTGAGAGTGAGAGTGAGAGTGAGAGTGAGAGTGAGAGTGAGAGTGAGAGTGAGAGAGAGAGAGAGAGAGAGAAAGAGAGAGAGAGAGAGAGAGAGAGAGAGAGAGAGAGAAAGAGAGAGAGAGAGAGAGAGAGAGAGAGAGAGAGAGAGAGAGAGAGAGAGGGAGAGAGAGAGAGAGAGAGAGAGAGAGAGAGAGAGAGAGAGAGAGAGAGAGGAGAGAGAGAGATCCCAGGCTCTATTAACACAGGTCACTGTGAGCTGTTACAGTGCACAGGTCACTTCACACATATCAATACCATATGGGTTTACTGAAACTCACAGGGAGCGCCACAGCAGGGGATGGGTAGGAACAGCAGTCATGGAGCATGACAATGCAGAGGGAATTACAATGATAAAAAAAATATATTATATATTCATTCCTGCCCCGCATAAATCCTTTTGTAACCTTAAGAAAAGGAGCAACCACAACATAATATGATTTTCGCTCAGAAAGAAAGCAAAGAACGGACTTGACATATTCATTTCCCATGGTGAGCAGAAAAACAACCACTACACTATCATTCCAATAACACAATGCCAGAGAAAGAGAGAGATGTATTGACAGAAAAACAATGAGACACACACACACACACACACACACACACACACACACACCAAACACACACACACACACCAAACACACACACACAGACACAGTGAAGAGAACACTGGGACCCCCGACCTGTACACCGAAATCAACAGCTAAGAAAAACAACCTGGGTGGAAGACAACTATAATTTTTGAGAGAGAGGATAGGGGAGGAATCATGCCTTGTTTCATGGCCTTAGGGGGTCTGTAACACCATTTCTCCATTCCTGTAGCTTAAAAACAGGGTAGGCAGAGCACGGTAAAGCCTGCAAGCTCCATCTTAACCCCAAACAACCATGTTTGAACATTGGAAGGCGCCCCCGCTGTTCCACACGGGGTCCAACATCACAAATCTCAAAAGATAGAACAGCAGCCAGACCCCCGGAGATGGTCGGAGATGGTTTGAACGTGATCACAATCAGAGCATGGTCACGGTCACTCCAAAAATACCCCGTCCTCTCACGGCGTCTGGGACTGATAGAACAGTGGTGGTCGAGTTCCTCTGAAGATGGAACATTCCTCAGACAGAAACAATCAACATCTCCCCTCACATCAAAGGCCGCCCGGGGAGACCCAGCCCACTCATCATTATAGCCAATCAGCTGGCTTCCTAAACTGTGGTGACCGTGGGCCAGAGCTGGCCAATCATTTGTGCCCGTCCCTGTGCCCAGGGATATAAACATATTGACCACATATCTTCATTCAGAGCATCTTAACGACGTTAACCAATTAGTTTCCTCCAGGTTTCATTTCCTCTTTGTCCTGGCTCAGAGTGGATTCATAGCTCAGCACTGCTGAGTGACTCCCAGAGCAGAGCAGTAATTATTCACATTATAACTAATAACCTAGTCAATTACAAAGGCCCTATCCAGGGGAATTATGGCACTGTTGTGAGAACAAATTTCAATCAATCAATCAAATGTATTTATAGAGCCCTTTTTACAACAGCAGTTGTCACAAAGTGCTTATACAGAAACCCAGCCTAAAACCCCAGAGAGCAAGTAATGCAGATGTAGAGTTGTTGTTAGGAGACAGCATCCAATGTATGTGATGATTGTGATTATGCTGTACATGCTGTATATGTCGGAGACTAAGACAAGTGTTACTGACTGTGAGGGTGACTTATTCTAGCAATATATTCTAACAATTCAATATTTGACTTCTCTGCTCAATCATTGGGCCAACTGATCAAGCATGCGTACGCACCCACACAGGTGCTGACACACACCCACATCCATATGTATATGAATACCACATCTATAAGTGTACACCCACACACAGAAACAAATATGTTATACAGTACTGTACTACAGTGGTTCCCAACCTTTACCAGTTACTGTACCACCAACATAATTTTTCTCTGCCCGGAGTACCCCTGAAGTACCTCCTCATGTGAATTTTACCAGTAGGCCTAAGGTCTCGTGAGTCTTCTCAAGTACCCCCTGTGGATAGGCCAAGTACCCCCAGGGGTCCTAGTACCCTGGTTGGGAACCACTGATGTACTCTATGTATTAATATCTTGCATGAGAGCGAGGAAAACATTATCCCAACATGAATTGGTCTATGCGATTAATCATGAAGCCTATGCAGGTGGCATGTTAATGTATCCTGATTCTAGATCCTCTGTGTGGCCTCTCAGGGGGTTGAGTAAGTGCCATGGTAGGCCTGGCCCTCCATCCCTCACTATGCTGGCTTTGACTGACAGGCTGCGTTTATCCACCTCCACACTTTATCCCTTTAGAACAACAGCCATCAATGTGAAGGAAGGATGGAGATAAACGAGTGGCCAGAGCCTCGGGAGCGCTTCCCAAGGATTTCCCATCCATCCAGCCAACACACCCATGCAAACACGCATGCACACGTCCCCCTCCCCTCTTCTCCACCCCTCAATCTCTCCAACCTTTTCTCCCTCTGCTTGTGTCTGACAGCACAGCCCAATTTTCCCCTTTCTCCAGCACAAATGAGCCAATTCAAGTATTAGCTACTTACCGAGGGAATAGCAGGTCCTGTGAATCTAACACATCTGAAAATGTTTTATA